TTTTTAAACTTGTTGTTCTGAATGACTTTAAGATGGTTAATAGGCAATTTCTGAAGGTGAGGCTTGCAAACCTACTGCCCTTTAAAAGTCTCTGCTTCAATTGAGACCAAAATGGCTAATGCCTTCATCTCCTGGTGCTCAAACCCATGGAAAAAATTTCTATCCTGTGGTCTTGTGAGGAACAGCCACCTGGAGTACATGTGGGTTATTTTCCATATTCTCCTTAACTGGAAAAATGAGTAGACTTTGCTGTGGTCAACTGCACTTTCATGAAGGTGTCTTCAGTTCACCATGGCTCCCATGGAAGTTGAATAAAAGTATTACCAATAGGTCAGCTGGAAACTAAAATCCTTGCCAAACAAGCTTTAATTGCCCTATGGTTCGTCTTTTTTGCTTTTTTAGTTGTAGGGCAACTTAACAAGCAGTTAAACCTATTACTGTGCCCCTGGTCTCTTTTCCTCATGTGTTAATAATAATAATAATGATGATGATGATGATGATGATAAAGTTGGAAGGGACCTTGGAGGTCATCTAGTCCAACCTCCTGCTCAGGCAGGAAACCCTATACCATTTCGGACAAATGGCTGTCCAGTTTATTCTTGAAAACTTCCATTGTTGGCGCATTCACCGCTTCTGGGGGCAGGTTGTTCTACTGGTTAATTGTTCTAACTGTCAGGAAGTTTCTCCTTAGTTCTAGGTTGCGATGGTAAACATGAGGAACCCAGCCCCACCACAAAGTCATGGAATTACCAGTGGAACCTTTTGCTTCAAAACCAGGAGTGCAGATCTGTCTACAGACATCAATGTTTCTCTACCTCAGCAACTTTGGTGTGTAGACTTCAACTCCTAGTCCCTGTTGCAATAAAGTTAACTGTGGAGTATTGTAAAGGAATTTAGAGATAGAAGATACAAAAGCACCATTAAGGGGTAACTTGCAGAAAAGATTACACAACCCAGAGATAGAAAGAAAAATGAGAAAGAAATTCAAAATAACCTTGCCTTAATTTTGTTCCATATAAGATGTCACAGAAAGAAACTCAGATAGACTCTCAAGATTTTGTTACAATATCTAACAATATAAATAGCACTCTGGAATCCCTGTAGCATCTCTTTCTTGATACTACAGGGCTGACAGGTACTTGGACAGTAACAATACAGGTAGTCCTTGACTTACAATCACAAATGAGCCCAAAATTTCTGTTGCTAAGCAAAATAGTTAAGTGAAGTTTGCTCCATTTTACTTTATTTCTTTTCTTGCCACAATTGCTAAGTGAATCACTGCAGCTGTTAAGTTAATAATATGGTTGTTAAGTGAATCTGGCTTCCCCATTGACTTTGCTCATCAAAAAGCCACAAAAGGTGATCATATGACCCAGGACACTGCAACCGTCATAAACATGAGTCAGTTTCCAAGCATCTGAATTTTGATCACATGACCATGGGGATCTGCAACAGTCGTAAGAGTGAAAAATGTTCATAAGTGTCTTTTTTCAGTGCTGTTGTAACTTCGAACAGTGACTAAATGAACTGTTGTAAATCGAGGACTATCTGTAATTTAATCCCTACCTACTAGATTATAACATGTGTTAGACCGTCCTGGCTAAACTTCCAACAGAGATCCAGCAAACAGGAACGGTAAACCATCAAAGCTTTTAATCAGCGAAATGAAACAAAGTTAGCACTGGGAGTAACATTCCCGCAGCGCTCTAAATACCGCACGCCCGTCCAGCCCCTCCCAGGTCCGCCCTGCCTAGCCAGCCCCGCTATCAGCCCACCGCTAACACCTGGTGGATTGTCAGGCCCGGCGTTCGTCCGGTCTTGCGCCGTCCGCATCCAACAAGGCAGGCCCCCGTCCGGGGAAAAGTCTTCAGCAAGTCAATCACAACGTCCTTAGCCTTTTCGGGCGAATCTCCGCCCAAACACGCTACACGGTGCGGCGCGGCGCCTCCCGATGACGTCATCCAGGATGTTGGAAGCGGAGAGTATCGGCGCCGCACCAACGGGGCGGAGGCGTCAGCCGGAACGGCCACAACGGCGGGCGCTGGAGGCAGCAGCGCAGCCATAATGGAGCGGAGGCTTGGGTATGGAGGGGAGTAAGACACTCAGGGCCTGACAACATGTGTATTAAAACGCTGAAAACAGGATCCAGAATAGAAGACATGCAGTTTGGAGCACAAAAATACATCCACTGGTGATATTTACAGATCAAAATTTCATTTCTATGAGTTGAGCATTTGTCCTTCAGAAAGCAATAGGCACAGTTTAGCAAAATGTTTTTTTCCTGCCACATTTGCACTTTTATAATAAGGCGAAAATAAGAGTCTCTCACTGTGCAATCTGGCTATACTTTGACTTGCATGGAGATTGGGATGACTATGGTAGATGATCAGAAAGATGGAGTGTGGGGTAAATGTTCTGTTTGCTGGTTACTGAATCAGACAAAAAAAAACCCAGGCTCGGAATTTCAGGCCACAGAAGAAGATTAATTTAGCAAAAGCTGCATTGGGGGTAAAAATCATCTATGTCAGTGGTGGCAAACCTATGGCACGCATGCCAGAGGCGGCACTCAGAGCCCTCTCTGTGGGCACATTCGCCATGCCCTGGAGATGGCAACTATCCCTCTTCAACCAGCCGCCCGCTAACTCGTCGAGGTCCCACGTGGCCGGATGCATCCCAGCACGGCTGGTTTCCCTTCCCCCTATCCCATCTCTCCTGGCCTTGCATGCTCTCCTTTTCCTGGACACGACCCACTGCATCGCCTCCTCAGCTGTCGGCCAGCTGTCCAGTTCAGAAGCAGCTTCTCTGAACTGCTGGTGGCGGGCTGCGGAGCCACAGAGTGCGCCGGTCGAGGGGCCGACAGGCTGTGGCTGCTGAGGGACATTGTCGGCTCCCATGTGCTCGCTGGCCTCTGTGTGTGGGGGCCGATGATATCAGGCAGCAGCTGCCCTGGCCCCTGCCCCACCTTGCCCTGCGGCAATGGCACCCATGCCCTGCCTCGCCTTGCCTCGCCTCACCCCACAGGACGAGCCTCCTGCCCACCGCCCCACCTGCCAGAGACCCCCTGGATCTCCCCCAACCCTGCCCAGCCCCCACAGGCATCCCTTCCCACGAACAACATCGAGGTGACCACGCCCACCTTAGCCACACCCACCCAGTCTGCAATGACCACCACAGCCACACCCACCCAGTGGGCCACGCCCACCTGGCACACGGCAATAAATAAGTGGGTTTTGGGTTGCAGTTTGGGCACTCGGTCTCTAAAAGGTTCGCCATCACTAATCTATGTCATACTATGTCCATGGGTTAGCAGTGGTACAAGTACTACAGTAATGGATTTAATATACACAAGGAAGGGTATCTTTAGGCAAACACGTTGAATCACTTCTAATTGTGAAGCAGCAATGGTGTTGGGTGTCTCAGGTTAGATTACTAGATCCATGTTTAATTTCTGGCCAAAAAAACACAATATACAGTATAATTACAGGTTTTGGCAAAAATCTTTACACAATTCAGGGCAAATTATTTCTGTTGGTATGATCTGACTTAATTTTCCTGTTGTTAATGAGGAGGATATAGCTTAAGATAACTTTAGTATGAACTACAATGGAATCTCTTTTACCTCAGAGATAATTCTTGATGTTTAACACATATTAATGTATGTATTAAGTCTATATAGTGCTTAGTGACATACATTAATCACTACAGTATAGTATCCATTGTGTTCATAATTCTGCCAATTACTATAGTGCAGGGGTAGGCAACCTCGGCTCTTTTATGACTCATGGACTTCAACTCCCAGAATTCCTGAGTCAGCTATGCTGACTCAGGAATTCTGGGAGTTGAAGTCCATGAGTCATAAAAGAGCCGAGGTTGCCTACCCCTGCTATAGTGTATAGTGTACGGTATAGCGCATAGCATAGCATAGAATTCTTTATTGGCCAAGTGTGATCGGACACACAAGGAATTTTTCTCTGGTGCATAAGCTCTCAGTGTACATACAAACAACAAAGTGATTGGTCATAGATCATAGCATATAGCACTTACCATATACTATGTAAAATATACTATATACTATAAGGCAAGATAGTGTAATTATAGGAAAGGTCAATGATGTTTGAAAGCACACATGTATGTTTTATCATTTATGTTTATACACATGTCACAAACTAACTCTAAAATGCAAGAGAAGTAGGAGAATACCCTTTCATTAGAACATCCTGTTTATTAGCTATTTTGATATTTCTTATTTTGAAGCGTTAACGTAACAAAGTGTTGTTGGATCAACAATGATATGCCCAGTATTTGGGGTGAAAAAACAGAATTGTAGTATAGGAGACTGCCTAGAAGCCATAGGAAAAGAAACATGATTACATTAGCCTAATGGTTAATAAATGCCAAGCTGACTCTATTTACTATGGGTCACCTGAATTTGCTGCTGATGGAAAGGCATTAAAATCCATATAACTTACTTTGGATTATGTTATCTCAATAAGGATAATGCTAGCTTCATAGTAGTATAATTAAGGGCATCAGCAGCCTGTCTCACACATGGGTTGGATTATGTGAGTAGGACAATATGCTAGAGACCTTGCAGAAAAAAGTTGATGGCAGGTATATTTGTATTATAATTAGGTAAAAATGAATAAACAGAGTTAGATCACAGATCAAACATACAGATGCTGGGAGTATCACAATCTCTTGTTATTTGAAAATTAGAGAGGAAAATATTTGTTCATGACCAGATCACCCAAAATTCACTTCCAATTATGGTGTTTTCTACCAAATTATGTTTCAATTATGTAAATATGGTCTGGAAACCAGTGTCTCAATTAGTAAATACCGTAAGTAAATAAATAGGGAAATTATAGCCATTAATACCTGCCCATGGAAAATGCTGGTTCTGTCCTCACTGACCTGTTGACAATGAAGTCTTTGTCTACCATTGCTGATCAAGCTACTAAATACTGCCTCGATTCTTTCTCTGTATCATCTAGTAAGGTCATTGAATCAAAGGGAGAGGAAAAGGAGGGGCGATGTGTGTGTTGAGAGTTAAAACACAACAAACAAGGTGCCACTAAAGAGAGGAAACTGCTGAGACTGTATTGGTTAGAAAGCAGCATCTGTACATGGGTACACATGTAATTCAAATGACTACTGATCCATCTAAAGAACAACTAGTGGATTTAGTGGTAACAGCCAGAAAAAGAACAAGGTTTGTAGTCTTATGCTCTCTTTGATCTGTCAGTTTCCCTATGTCTCTTCCCTTTTTACTTTGTACTTTGTACTTATAATTTGCTTCCTTTGTTTCATTTTCCTATACAATATTCCTTTCCTTTGGGGGCTGGGATGGGGAGAGATTGCTGCACGGAGTCACAGTGCATCTGGTGCCCTCAGGTATTCTGGAATTAATTTCTCATCACTTCTGGCTAACCTGGCCCATATCAACAGATTATGGAAGCTCTAGTCCAAAGCATCTGAAGGGCTTCAGATTGCCTCCATCTGGGGCTCATATTCTTGTTCTGTTTCCCTCAAGAACCCATAAAACAGTGCACAATCTAAAACCCCTCCAAATTTCATTTATTTGGGAAGGTCACGGAAGATGCATGAATTATTGTAATCCTTGAATTTATTTACCAAAATATAGATTGAATGAGGTGAACAGAGAATTTAAATACTTTAAGATCAACATTCATGATCCATGCAGATTGACAGAAGCATTTCTACCAGAGGGATTTTCCAGAGCTTCCAATATAATGTTTCTGCCTCCTTTTCTTTCTCCCTCTCCAGGTCTAGTACTGTAGTAATCATACTATCCTTAATTTACAAGTGGAGAGACATAAATTAATATTTCTTACTAAAACAGCTCATTTCCTTTCCAGAAATATCTCCAGGTATTTGCTTAAATAAAATATGTGCAGGACAATGACTATTATTAAGAAAAATTCAGAAATCCCCTAAATTAATTAATCCATCCTGTTCAATCCTGCACTCATTGATCATGTCACTGATGTATGTGTGAATGAAAGGATGTCCTTCCTCCTGCATGTTTGAACAGAGTCCCTTTAGTTACAGTCAAAATGAATTCACAGATAGGCTGATTATTAAGATAGTTGAAGTCTGCAATATAGATACACTGGCATCTAATTTTTCTGCTCAGTGCTTTGGATATTCTTTTTGAATTGTAGCTGCAATGGGCACTCACCATTTTCCTGGCCGAACAGTCTTATTTGAAAAGAAAACAAGTGGAATGACGTACCGAGTGCCAGCGTTACTCTATATCCCATCTGTAGCCAAGCTCTTGGCTTTTGCAGAACAGCGGCTTAGTGTGGATGATGCTGATGCCAATTTACTGGTCCTAAGAAGGGGTGATTTCTACATGAACTTTGTGCAGGTAAGACAAAGCAAAAACAGTTTCCCCCAAACTTGGATAACAAGGCTAGATGTTAGGGACAAAAACAGAAGGATGTCTCTATGAATATCTCTCTCCGTACTGCTACTTCTTCCTAGCACTTCACTAATCTGTTGCTGTATTGGGATGACAAGGGGAAATCTAGGACATGGTCCAAACCTTTTGGGGAATACCAGCTGGGAAAGACTATAATAGTTAGCATTTGTTTTAATTTAGTCTTTATTGCTTGATAATAGAGTCAATCCACATATGGAATTGCTAGCTATTACCTGCTTTCACATCCTGCACTTGGTAATCTTTTCAGGCTCCAAGTACCACTGCAACAACCTTGTGCCATGCACAACGGGTGGCTCCTCAAAAAATAATCAAAAGAATACCAAAATCTCACCCTTCCCAAAAGATTAAACTGCTGCAAAATTGTATTGAGAAAAAAGCATGCATTTAGGCAAAAACTGTCCAAGTAGTCATCGACTTATGACTTTAATTGAGCCCAAAATTTCTGTTGCTAAGTGAAATATTTGTTAAGTGAATTTGCCCCATTTTTTGACCTTTCTTGCCACAGTTGTTAAGTGAATTACTGCAGTTGTTAATAATACAGATGTTTTTGTATCTGGTTTCCCTATTGACTTTGCTTGTGAGAAGGTAGCAAAAGGGGATCATAGGACCCCGAGATGCCGCAACCATCATAAATATGAATCAGTTGCTAAGCGTGTGAATGTTGATCGTGTGACCATGGGGATACTGCAATGGTCATGTGAAAAACAGTCATAAGTCAATTTTTTTCAGTGCTGTTGTAACTTTGAACAGTCACTAAATGAACTGTTGTAAGTCGAGGACCACCCATATTGATGAAATCATGCATTTAAAACAGACTATTATGATTTCAGGCTCCTTCTCCCCATTTGAAAAATGATCTACAGCCCTTACATGTTGTCAGAGTTACTGAATGAATGTTTTGTTTTGTTCATTCTTAAAAGAGTTTCCTACCTCATTCTCCTCCATGTGTGTTAACTTAAACACCCTGTCAGCCACTTTTTTTCATTGATGCCAGGATGACAAAGAAGACTGTTCCAGTACATCTCACCAACTGTTGAGCCATTATTCACTGATGCTTGATCCTTCAGCATTCTTAGAGGAGTATTCATCTGGCCTACTATTTGGAAGATGGAGCTTTTAGGTTTATAAGCAAAGGGGAATAGAACTGCTGTTCTTCAAGGATCATATTTCTGTCTATAAGAAGCATGTACAGAATATGTTCTTCTGAAAAGACTCAGAGGAGACAAAAAACCCTTGACCCAGAAGGATAAAAATATTTTCCTGGTCATAGCCAATTGTATGATATTTATGACAGCAATATTACTGTTTATCACAAATAATTCTGCAAATAATAGCTAATAACCTATTTATTAATATTCATAGTTATTCTTAGATGAAAAAAGACATTTATAGGATGTGTTTTAATATACATTTTGAAATCTTACCTAAAATAAATTTCATTTAGGTTATCTTGAGGCTCCTTACCTTACTTTAACTCACCAACTGTGAATGTTAAATAGAAGATAGCAAAATTACAGGTTAATGGGGTCCCATCTCAAAATAAGCAACATAAAAGTTCTAGTTAAATAAGAAAGATAAATCTGGGGTTCCTAAGTTCTTTGGATGTCTTTTTTTTTTGCCAGTGGGAAGATACGCAAACCATTGAAACAGCAAAACTTATGCACCATCGATCTATGAACCCTTGTCCCATCTATGATGAAGTCACTGGCATGGTTTTCCTATTTTTCATTGCTGTGTTGGGCAGGACTTCTGAAGTCTTTCAAATTGTCACAGGTCAAAATGCTGCTCGCCTCTGCTATGTGTCTAGTTCTGACCAGGGCATCAGCTGGAGTCATGTGACTGATCTCACTGAGGAAGTCATTGGCATGTCCATCCAAGGTACAGATATTTGATAGTACCTAAAAAGAGACCAATGATGAGATAGGGGTATGCTATCAAAGAACAAAAACATCAGTGAATCTTGTTGAATTCATATATTTATTGTTAGACTTTATCAAGATTTTAGTTACCTTCATTTAGGCTTGCGTCAAGGAAAGAGTTTCTGTCCCATTGGACAGAATGGATTAACCAGGTCACAGTTAGGATAAGGGTGTCATTGTTCTGCTCATTTTATATACTGGGTAATTGTCACAAACTGTCCTTTTTATTCTTTCAAAGCCAAAAGAATGTTGGGAAGAAATTGGGTAAGGGAGGTTGGGAGTCTGTCCATCTCTGTCAAATAGCAAGTTAATTCTCTGAAAACAGATCAGAGTAGGACCATATTTGGTGATATGGAAGTCATTAAAAGAAAGGCCAGGGGCCACAAAGACAAAAACTCCAGAAAGAATTATCCCAATAAATCCATATGGGACGGGCAGCTGTGTTCCATCTTCTCCATTATTATCCCCACTCCTTATTCTGAAGAACATGACCCAGAGTGGATTGTTATTAAGGAGCCAGAAAGAATTTCAAAGCGGATCTCTGGAGGTTTCCTTCATCTTATTGTATATCACTGCTGCCTGACTTTTGTGTTCACAACTCTTCCTTTTTGTTTCTTTATAAATGACACATCTGCCAGTTAAAATTATCATGGAATGCATTTCTGAAGTGTGCAACCTTTAGTTTCAGGGCGACATAGTGCTCCCAAACAGCTTTTCTGCAACTCAATAGAACCCTTTCTCACTATATTACAAATTCAGTGATACTGAATTTGCCAATTTGAAGCAGGAAACAACACGCACATGAATATAAATTATCTTGTGAGAGCTGAAATAGCTTTAGCAAAATTTGAGAAGTAAAACATTTACTTTACAGAAGTTAATACGTTTAAACCTTAACTTTTATCTGCACGCACAAGGCAGTCCACACATTTTGTAAAATTGCCCATACAGTTTGACATTAATCTGCCCATTATAACCTTCGGATCCCCACTCTGCAAAAGAAAAGAAAAACTTAAATGTAGTTCTTAGCCTCTGAAAGGCATGATTTGTCAGATAAAACATGACTGTTCAATTCTGCTCATGAATTCTTTGCCATTATCTGTCTATCATTAAAATGTCACAAATCTCTTGATTTTTATGTTCTTCCTTCCTTCCTTCCAGATTGGGCTACTTTTGCCCTTGGTCCTGGTCATGGCATTCAGCTCAAGTCAGGCCGTCTGCTCTTACCTGCTTATACTTATTATATTGACTGCAAAACATGCTTTGGGAAATTCTGCAAAACAACCCCACATGCATTTGCCTTCTACAGTGATGATCATGGGCAGAGCTGGTTCTTTGGTGAGTTTGTCCCCAATCTGAAGACTGTTGAGTGCCAGATGGTATCAGTGGATGAGGAGGATGGAAGCCATGTGCTCTTCTGCAATGCTAGGAGTCCTCTGGGCTTCCGGGTTCAGGCACTCAGCACAGATGACGGGGCAATATTCCATTCAGGGCAGCTGGTACCACGACTTGTAGAGCCTCCTCATGGTTGCCACGGAAGTATCGTTGGATTCCCAGCTCCACTTTACTGCATGCATCATGGCATCCAAGTGTCCCAGAGAAAAGCATGTCCTGTTAAAGAGCCAGGCCTCTCATTGCAGCCTAGAATGTGTGAGAGGTCCCATTTTTGTCCAGCACAGCTTACTAGTTCTCTCTGCAACCACTATTTATGCCAGCAGCAGCTGGAAAGGTTTATATCAACTGAAACCTCTAGTGACCACCTCAATAGTGCTCTTAGTCCCATGTCTTGGAATATGACATGTACTGATCCAGATCACAACAATGCTGAAATGATTTCCAAATCAGATACGTATTTTGAAATCCCAACATGGGTTCTGTATTCCCACCCAACAAGCTCCAGATCCCGAGACAACTTGGGAATATACCTCAGCACATTTCCTAGAGATGTTGACAGCTGGTCTAAACCCTGGATTATTTATGAAGGGCCCAGTGCTTACTCAGACTTGGCCTACATTGAGTTGCCTTACTCAGAGTTTTCAGCAACTGGGATCGCAGCATTTGCCTGTCTGTATGAGAACGGGATGCAATCCCCATATGAGCAAATATCCTTTAGCATGTTTACATTTCATGACGTTCTTCAGAACATTCCTCTAACAACTTTTTCCCTAAGTCAGAAACGAACCTCAAAGGTTACAAAGAGAAAGGGGAAAAAATGTGCCATCTTTTAAACAGAGGGATAACCTAGATACTTTTAAATCTCATTCATCCTATCATAAACATTGTGAAATGTATTTTGATATACAATTGTGTACATATTATGTGCAGAATAGAGTTGGGTTGCAAAATTCAGATAAATTAATGCAAGATGCATGTAGCTACAAAGTCACATCTGCTTTGGCCTTGCTAGGAGATTGAGAGCTTCCTTCATTTCTAGAAATATTCCAAAATATGTTTAAGGATGCTAGCTTGGGTCTGCCACCTGTTGGTTAAAACACCCTACTAAATGGAAGAAGGGATAAGATTATTTACAGTGCAGATTCTGGTTTTATTTCCTTTCCTCTCTAAAGTCTCTATTTTTTTAATTCTTATTTTCTTGAAACCAAAACAAAGAGTCATGTTTTCTTTCCATATACAAAGAAATGCATCCCACTACACTTCTGTGGCTTTAAGTTAGAGAAGGGTTAGAGAACAATTAATCAGTGGAACAGCTTATTTCCAGAAATTGTGGGTGCTCCATCACTGAAGGTTTTTAAGAAGAGATTAGACAACCATTTGTCCAGAATGATATAAGGTTTCTTGCTCGATCAGTGGGTTGGACTAGAAGTCCTTCCTTCCAACTCTGTTATTCTGTTATTAAGGGGAATCATACCCATCCACCCCCCCATAGAAGAGAAAATATATCTTCCAAGGTAATCTGTTAAAGAAGGCATCTGCTATGCTGGCCAGGACTGAGCAGGATTGAAGGGTCAAACGTGTCACCAGTCATGAATCCCTTTGCGCCCACAATACCTTCTTAATTCCCGTTCATTTTCTTTGACCACTAGTAGCTTAGATTTTTGCAGAGAGCTTAAGCTTGCAATAAATCTTTATACTCATTTGTACAGCCTGAATCTCCTGATTTCTCCTGCGCTTAACAGGTTGGTTCTTAAGACAGCAGATACCATGCATGCTTAAGTCCAGCATCTCCTTTGTATTTTACCTACCAATGTTAGGGTGCATTCACTTCAATGGAGCATGTAAAGCATGGGTGGCCAAACTTTTGGCTTGCCTAGGGTGCACTGAGTGAGGAGGAACTATCTTGGGCCGCATATAAAATACAATGTATATAAATCACATTATAATATTAAAGGTTTATGAACTTGTAGGGCTGTATGACTAGCTGTCCAGAGCCACATGCAGTCCATGGGTTAGACATGCCTGATGTAAAGGGTATGAAGGGGTTTGTGACCACATTATAATAATACAGATTGAGATAATATTGCAATAACATTGCCTGCCATGAAATATGTTGGGAAATGTCATGACACACATAAAACATAAGTGTAGTTTTGATTGTACTGCTATAGCCACTATCCTGATATTTTTGACGGCATACTGTGGACAACCCTGAATAAACTTAATCTTCTGAAGAGCCAAGTCAAGCAGAATTGAACTGTTTGACATTTCCATGTATGAGCATTTTTGTCTGTGTACATGATTATTGGAGGCAGAATTGACTGTGCTCTACAGCAGGGGTCCCCAACCCCCAGTCTGTGAACCAGTACCGGTCCATGGCATGCCAGCAACCGGTCTGCACAAACAAGCAAAGCCCCATCTGAGGGATTCAGGCAGCACACAAAACCACGCACTCTCTGGTCCACGGAAAAACCTTTCTCCACGGAACCGGTCCCTGATGCCCAAAAGGTTGGGGACATCTGCTCTACGGCTAGTCTACATTAACTAGTGACAAATAACATCTAGTCAGTTTCACCAGGATTTCTCCAGAATTATTGATGGCTGGGTGGGGTGGGGATGTTGCTGCAGTGTGTGATTAGGTTCATACATTACTTTAAGATTTACTATTAGTAGGTAATTTGTTTGTGAGAGTCCAATTATCTCTGTTAAATTAATGATGATTAAGCAAATAATGGGGTAGCATGATGATAAAATGTTTAAATGCATTTATTTTGTGAAAACCTCCTCCCAATTTTTTTTGCCTTGCCCATTCTATTCTATAGCAATCACATCCCTTGAAGGTCTATATTTCTTTAATAATATTAATTTTCCAATTTTACATTTAAGTATTTAAAAAGCAACTGTCAACGCTGCAAATACTGTATATTCTTGCTTTGACAATATGCAGAACTGTCTGGTATTTTTATAGTTAAATCAGGCAACAGTGAAAGGGGAGGAGAATAAGGAAAGCCCGGGAAAAAGAAACCTGAAGTAAATCACATCTTCCAAGTTAATTGGAAGATGTGAACCATGACCCCAAAATAGGGGAGGGAAAAATGCCTGGAATGTATGTGCAACGGAAAAGAATCTCAGATCTAAGCATTTCCACCATGCCATACTGACATCTCTGTAACCTTAATAAATGCTTTTAGGATAAAAATATGCCTGAAAGTCCTTTTAAGTGTTTCGTTAATCAGACACATGACAGCAATGTGGTGGCTGGGTTAATCAATATTCAATAGCATATAAAAATCTTTAGTATAAATCTCAAGTTACAACATCAAATATTTCCTCTCTTTTTCCCTTAATATCTACTATCTCATATTTAAGTTAGTACAGTTCTTATATCAACTAAGTAAAAACATCATTATTACATTTATCAATAAATATTTAGCTTATATATATCTTAATTACTTTTACATTCAATCTTTATAAACAATCAATGTCTTGTTATTGATTTTTCCAATTTTTAGTTTCCCATCAATATTCCAATTTAACATTTGATATTTATAATTTTCAAGATTTAGGTAACCAAAGTTTCCCTTATCTCAATTCATAACAAAATCTAATATTCAAAATACATATTTTATCTATTTAAATATAGTCTTGTTCTATTTCCTAAAAGTTATCTATTTCCCACCATATTAAATCATCTACTTAATAATACAGTATCACCTTTAATAAATCAAACCCATTATATATATTGTCTGGGTTAATCAATAAATCCAACATATTCATAATAATTAATTTTTTTCCTTTTGAGTCTAATTTTTAAATATTAAACAAATAAAATCCTTATTTTCAACTAGTTTCCAAATGTTTTAGATCTAATGACCAAAATTCCCCTTATCTCAGCTTCTCCCTTTAACCCTCTAATTAGTAATATGAAATCCCCTCTAATAAATCAAAACCCCAATTTTCTTCAGCCTTATTCTGGCCTTCTTCCTTTGCCAACTAGCCTTCCATGTCAGTGCTTTTAGATCATCAAATAGATCTTCCTCTATTATTATATATGTTATTTGAAATAAGAGAGACCATTTAGTTGCCATTTATTTGGAAGGGCTAACTCATTTGTATTCATTAAATTGTCTCCCTATTATTCCAATTCCTGATGATTGTCCTGATATGTTTATCTTCCATTCAATCTGTTCTTCTTTCTCAAATTTCTTCTGATTTATATAGAAAATCTTTTCCATTTCAGTGTTGTCACTCTCTTTTCTGGATTTTCCATTAATGTATTTGTTGGTCAATTGAGTCTTAATATTTGATTGTTCCACTTCTTCTGTTATCTTCTGCGTTGTTAGTTCTTTGGTTGTAGTCAAAGTTTGGGTTTGTGTATCTAAGCTGGCATCTTGTTCTTTTATGTTAGGTCTTATTTTATCACAAGCTGAAAGAATGGTTTCATGTATTGCTTTTAACATGGAAAGCATCTTTTCCTGGTCTTCATCCATATTCTCTTAATAATGTGTTAAGTTGAGGACTTTAAAATCAGATGTTAAAAATAATTTTATAACTAGGTATGGGACCCCCGTTTTTATAATAGTTTTTCAAAGTTTATTTCTTTTCTTTTTAAATAAAAATCAGCGTATCCAGTAGAAATAGGAATAAGAAAACTTCCAGAAAAACTTTTTAGTCCCTAAATTTCAAAGGTATATGCATCCAATTAGATTAAAGTTGTTTTTATAATTGCTTTGTTTCCGCTGGGTAGTCAGTCGCCGCTGTTCTTAGAGAGTGGGGCAGGAATTCCCTTCCCTCTCTCCTCACAGGGGGAAGAATACTTAGGGCAGCTTTTGCAGGAAAGATATTTAGAGTCTTAAAGAGAAGATCAGATCTCACCCAGTTTCATCCGCGTTGTTTTAAAGGTGCTTAGTAATAATTTTGACATCGGCTGTCAGCAGCTTAATGACGAGCCATATTGCTATGGCCAGTCTTTCCCCCGCCGGTTTGGAGAGCTGCCCTCGATCAAGCGGAAGGGCTGCCACCCTCCCGCGATCACGCGGGGATCCCGTCCTCACTCGTCGCCCCTACAGGGTGACTTTTGACCCTTTCCAGGGCCCCCCAGTGGGATAAAATTGGATGAAGACGGAGTTCGCCTCCATGCGTCTGAAGGCACTGATGGCAAACTGGAAGTCCCTTGAAGGTCAATATTTGTGGGCTCCTTGCCCAGCTCACGGATACTCATTAATGTTACGGTAGGAACATATCTTTACAACAGAGCTCTCACCTCATTTACAGTCTTCTAGGGCAGCTGAACCTAATCAAGATGTGCAATTTGGAAAGCTGCTTTTTTTCCCCTTCTGGAATATAGGACACCTCCCATCTGAACTTTCTAAGCAGGCACTGAAGAAGAACCTCCGGAGGTGGCTGATCTACCGGGTTCCACTTGCCCCTCTGACTACAGTGCTGCCCCTTCCCTCTGATTGGAGGACTCTGGATCATCATGGCCAGAGACATGAGGTTCCCTCTGGCACAGCTGGTCTTTTCTTTGGGTGTATGTTGTTTAGGTTAGAAAATATTGACCTCACGAAAGGCCATAAGGTTGCTATCTCTAGTGCTAAGTGGGAAACTTACCGCAATATAGTGTAACTTTGGCTTTCTATTTCATCTTTGTGTGCCATTTTGAGGTGATGGTTGCTATAGATCCAGCTCATGAAATCCGAAATCTGAGTGATTTCTGCAGAATAGCAGCAGGGTTGCTATTTGGGTGACCAGAACTGGGGGGAGCAGGACTCTCTGAGATTAGGTGACTTGGGAAAAGGAAGAGGACTGATGCTCCCTTTCTCATCATTTCCTTCCAAGTTGTTTGGAGCCAAAGAAAGAGGTGCAATCCCATCCATTACCACCTCATACTCTCCCACTTCCAGAATGGAAAGCAAGCGAGAGCTTTAGGGCTACACCTTCTGCTGTATGGCTATTCCAAGGAGGGGAATTAGAGTAAATGCCCCATAGGAATGAGAACAGCTGATGTAGAGTTCTCCTAGAGTGACTGCAACAGGATGGTGTGCTGCCCAAACCTGGTTAAACTCTACCATCTCCTCACCTCTACATGCTTTCCTTCTTTATTTATTTGTACAAGTTATATGTAGATGCGTATTTCCTGTTTGTCTTCTCTTTAGGGTCTGAGTATAGTTATTTCTTCCAAATAGAAATCATTTGCTATTGGTCTTGCTAATTGTTCCCCTCTACATATTTCTCTGCCTGAAATAAAGTTCCTCCTTGAAAGAATTTTGGCACAATTAACAAGGATATTTTAAAAAGAAAAGAAACATTTAACAATTATCTACTCAAGATAAGTAATGGTTTCTGGCTTCTTAAATATAAATAATGAGTGAGCAGCATTAATACTGAATAATGCAGATGCACCTGGAGAAGTTTGAATCACACACTGGCTTAAGGAGGAAATTATTTTTGAAGAGATATTGGAAAAATAAATATCTTTATTTGGTATTTAAGCACATAGGTTTCAGCAGTTTCCATTAATAAGACCAGCTATTAATGGAGACAATCAATAAAAACAAAGTCTGATCATAATGCGAACAATTGCCTTTTGACGCAGTTTGAAAAACGTGGAGGAAGAGAAATAGGTTATGCAGCTCTAAGTAGTGTTCTCTCTTGAAAATAATAACATTCTTCTCAATCTACTCGTCTAGGGGAAAGATTGTTAGATTTATGCAGCCACCCACCTCATATACATGACTCTGAGTGCCTGAAATCCAGGACCACATAGTGTAGGCCAGTATTTCTCATCCCTGGCAGCTTTCAGATATTTCAACCTCAACTTCAGGCCAAAGCCGTTTCCCAGGTTTTGGTCTTCTAGAAGTTGGGGACGACTTGTGAAGTAGACCCCTAAAGTCAGGGGATCTGCCTTAACTTTAATTTTGAGCGAGCATTTTCCATTCAGGCCTGTTTATACTGTACCTCTATCTCAGAAAAATTACAGTACTTTCTGGCTTATGTTGCATTCACTCACATAAACAAGAGAATTACATATAACAGTTAAGTGTTTCTTGTAAACAGAAACACAATAAATATGTGTATAAATATGCACCACAGTACAATATTACTTACTTATCAAAATCAACTTCTTAGCTCTCTAACGCTGTGAGAATGTCTATAATGACAGCAGTTTCAGGGTATATGTCCTGAAAGTGACTGCTACAGATTAGTTCTGTGGGAGACAAAGATACACTGGTGGGTTGGCGATGGGGGCGGGAGTCACTGTTGGGTCAACTTCAACTCTGTTTTTACATGACAATGCAAGAACCAGCTATGCAGGCTGCAGTGACATAAGATATAACTATAAATCAAGTTAGCACATATCTTTGTAACCTGATCTGTACAAATGAACTGAGGGTTAAAAACACTTCCGAAACCATGTTGCCTATTTCTTCTGTTCACATAAGCCACAGACACATCCAAAACAGCCATTGATAATTTGGAGAGCAGCCAGGATCATTTCAACCATGCTGATGACTAGGAGGGAAGAGAAGAAATACACATTCCAGCCAACAATATTCTGTGGCTTGATGCAAACTGAATTCCAAAGGGAAGGATCATACAGGTAATTCTGAGCCCTTAAAAGAAGCAGATTTTCAGTAAGTTGTAGAATTTTTTTTTCTAAAGCAGAGTTACGGGGGGAGTCCTCAATTAAGAGTATTTTTTTCTGTATACAGTTGTAAAATAACTAAAACTTCACTACCCTACTAACTATCCAGCACCTTGGCTACTTCTATTGTCATCTAATCTGTTCCTTCCTAATTGCATTGCCTCAAAGATATCTCTGCATTGACTTGGGACAATAAATTTTAACCAAATATAATAATAGCACTGATTCACTGTCTTTATTGAAGGTACTTTTAAATGCTCTTAAAACCTTTTTCTTTTTTCCATATTCCAGTTCAACTGACCCTCCACCTCGGCCTTTTCCCCACTTGTATCCCGCAGCTGTATCATGACTACCACTTCAAGAATACCACTAGTATGCCTAAAACTTTTGGGAATGCTAAATTCTAAAACCTCAGGATAGTGATAGATTGAACTTGGCTGTCCCATACAAATCTTCTATTAAAATATTTGTCACTCATTTTCAATAAAAAGCACAATCTATTTCTAATGCCAAACTTTATATACAGAGAGTTTTATCTGAAAACTTGAGTTCATATATAGTTATTCTGTCTCTTCAGGCAACTATATGCCGAAATGTCACCACACAAATCACATTTTTTAAAGGAATGGTTTTCTGAACCTATCTGAAAGTTATCTGCAAGTTTGAATTATTTAAGCAAAAGTGTATCTCAAACAATATGTGCTAAGCAATATTATAAGCTGGCCCATAAACCTCAGTAATCTTACCCATTGTTGAAGACATGGTAGTCCATTTCAAGAAACGGATAGCCCCATTGTTGCATCTTATCATCATTGTGGGTGGAATTATAGAGACATAGGGGCCCCTCTGTCAGGCCTGAACCAGACAGAATAAAACAAGCTGCTGATCCCAGGAGGGCCAATCCTGACAGCAGAATGGAAAGGAACATCTGTAGGCAAAAGAGGCACAGTAATTAACTTCAAATATACAACATAATATCTATTCTCCTCATAACTGTGAAGCAATAAAATGGAAACTGGCTCTGAAACATTTCAAGAAAAAAAACAAATATGACATCTGTTGCATTTCAGCTGCCATTTTCTCCCAGCTTCAACTCATCCTGACAGTGGAGCAGAACAGAGAATGTATTGTATTGTACAGATTTATATATGAATTAGAGTAGGAATATAGGAAACAGTTACAGAATGTTGTAGAGTCCGATTCAAAATAAAAAAAAACCTCCCCTAACAGCAAGAGACTTTTAGCAATGGAACCAATTACTGAGGATAGTATCAGGCTCCTTTCCTTGGATATGCTCAAGTAGAGGGTGGACAACCACTTGTGGGGATGCTCAGCTTTCGATTCTTCTGCTGAATTACGGACCGGATTTGATCACGAAGATGGCCCCTTTCAGCTCTATGATTTTTACAGTATTATGGATTTCAGCCTTCAGTTCTTTAACAAGAGCAAATAAAAATGATATTCTCCTTTATTTATACTGCCAAAACTAAGACAGTTTGAAGAGAACAGTAACCAGAAACAGATTTTTATGGAAAATGATGGGGTGGAAAGGGGATGAATGTATGTGGGTTATAGGCGTGCCCTCACAGCTTTGTCATGATGGAAATGTTCACTCCTAATTTAGGATTTAAGTAAAGGCTCCTAGGTCATGTCTTCTCCAAGGCTGAAAAAAGAGGGCACTGATAAAGATTGGGATTCTGCCTTCCTTTACTACTGCCTCTCACTTACTTTGGCCATGTCATGTTGGGGAATTCACTGGAGAAAGCAGTTATGTTTGGAAGAGTTAGCGGTAAAAGGAAAACAGGCCATCAAAGAATACAGCGGCCGGACACCATCAAAGCTGACACCAGCCAAAGCATAGAAAAACTCAAAGAAATAATGCAAAGTCAGAAGATGTGGGAGAGACCTGGCCCACAGAATTGCCAAGAGTCAGATTCAACTGAACAGATAATATCATCATCATCATCATCATCATCATCATCATCGTTCCTTTACTAGTGATACAACCAAAGCAACTGCAGATAATTGGAACAAACAACCCAACATTAGAGGATGTGTCCTTGTGGAGTTTTGTTCAGGATTCTTTTTATTTTCTAGGAGTTACGCTCTCCCGTCTAACCTCTTGATTTTTAAGAAACCAAAAAGGAACAAAACCTTGTGAACAACTTCCAACTGAAAACTAAGGACTTTATGTAGAACAGTAGGAAAGGAAAAGTTGGCCCAGAAAAACCAGAGTCTAATTTTCTCTCAGGTGTAATGGATAATCCATGAAGTTCAGGCAATTGTTCTCTCTCAGCCTAATCACTCTCATAGATACATTATGAAGCTAAAATCAGGCAACCTCCTTCTATATTTACCATCCTTGATGCCTTGTGGGACATGCAAAATACAAATGCATAAACTCTGACTTATATACTGTAGTTGCTGCAGAATATAGCTTCACAGTATCATGAAATGGAATAGATGTGCTATATTTTACATTTCTATCACATCCATGAATCTAGAACAAGGCTAATGAAAACAAAACAGACAACATTATTCTTAGGATGCTTCTTTTCTCTGAGGGTGTAACCATTTAAGTTCTCTCTGTTGCTTTTTTCAACTATGGAAATCTTGAATTATTCCTGACATAGAATGAGAAATTCTCCAAAGATCTACTCATTAAAACTGGAAAGTTTTCATCCACAGAAAGAGTTATCAACTACATCTCTCTTACCTTACAGCAAGTTCCTGAACTGCTGAAATACTTCCACCTCCATCCAATACCTGTGATCTGAATTGCAGCAGGAAAAATCTGCAAGGAAATAGTTGGAAATGAGCAGTATTCTCCCTTATCATTACTCTTATATTAATTACTCACTTGTTCCTTTTCCTTTTCCTGGAATCAAACATAGTAAACCCACTTCCATTTTAATTTCAGTAGAAAGAACTCTGTGAGTGGGATAAGCTAGAGGTTTGTGTCTAGCTCAAAATTAGTGCATGAGCATCCAGGACTGAATATAGTCCTACATGGGTCTCCCCAGTCTAAGTCCAACAGTGTTACCACCTCTTAGAATAGATCTTCATATCTTTTCTTAAGACAGAGGTGCATAGTCCTATTATGATAGGGTGGCCATACTTAATATGCTTGGTTAGAACAAGCATTTTAAGAATAATCTAAACCCTTGTCCATTTTTAGGCTATGATAGAAATGTTTACATTTTACACAGAAATTGAAGAAACTTTACAATATTTTGCAAAATAAAACAAAAAGGAAGAGAAGATGGCTACAAGAGGATTCACAATTATAAGTCACTAATATCTAATGTATACCTTCCCAATTTTGAGCTGCAAAAATCCAGATGGCTATCTGATGGCAGCAAACTCAAACTGTTTGCTGACATTATCCAATTGCCCAGATTTTTGCAGCTCAGATAAGGCTGGCTTAATCCAGTGCAAAATATTTCTGATATAGAATTTATAAAATAGGTGTGTTGTCCAAAGCCTGGAGAATTCTTAGAGTTACAATGAGCAGAACTAACTTTAATATACTAAAATTGTTTCACTTCACTAAGCTGTTGGTACACTTTTTTGTGGAAGTAAGGGAAGCTTAAAAGCTTTACAGGAGGGATTGACAATCAAGCCCTCATAGGGAATTATGCGTCCCCGATATGGTATATTACTCAAAATGTGTGAATAAAGATGAGCTATTTCCAAGATTTGTGGAGTGAAGGGCTGGGTGTGAGTCAATATAGTAAACTGAACTAATACACCCTTTCTTTTGCTACGGCTCAAAGAGTAGAAAGTTAACTGACAGTTTGAAAAGGCAACATTTCAACTAAATACACAGAAAAATTTCCTGACTATGGGCGTAGACTACAGTAGCATAGATAGCAATAGGATAGTGAACTTTTCTTCTTTACAGGTTATGAAGCAATTGCTGAATAGATGATTATCATAGATACAACAGCAATCAATGACTCATATTTAATGAGTTTACACATTACACTAAACTATAATTTAATATGGTTTGGATTTAGTGTGTTATGTCATTGTAAACTGTAGTTTCTTAGTATGTTGAGCTCAGCCAACATACTGGTTTGGTTGATAAAATCATGGTTAAACATGTTTAAATCATATTTGAACAAACTATGAGAGCTAATTTGGTGTCGTGATTAAGGCATCAGCTTAAAAATTGGGAGACTATGAACTATAGGCCTACTTTAGGCACAAAGAGAATTGGGTGACCTTGGGCCAGTTCCCCTCTCTCTCTTTGTTATGGAATGTGAGGCCTTGGAAAATGGAGAGGGGAAGAGATGCTGCCTAGGAAATGATCAGAGAAAAGGGGGAGGAACCCACAACTGAACAACAGGCAGAGAAAGAAATTTAGAAAGGATATGCTCTAACTAAACAGGCAGTAAAAAGGGACAGTGGAGATTTATACTTTCAGACTTGAAAGGTTTTGTTAGCTCATCTTGTTGTGTTGGGAGGTTGACACAGCTCTAGGAAGAAGTCAAGGGCAAACCATTTTTGAAAGATTACCAAGAAAACTGCAGGGACCTGTCCAGGGAGTCACCAGGACCAATACTGACTCAAAGGAACCAAAAGACAAACATACAAACAAACCATATCTTAACATAAAGTGTGAATTCAGATTATATCAGCAAATGTATAAACCCTGGCTTGTTGTTCTATCCAAATATACCACCCAACAAATAGAAAGAAAAAAAAGTATACATATGTATATGCACAATAATATGCATTCATTATTTCCCACAGATTCTTGGCCAGGATATATTAAAGAATAGTCTACTTACCAGCAGGCCTCCTCCCCACACTCCTGGCATTAGCATTGCCCTGTTGGATATTTGACCCAGGCTTAAGTAACACCATTCCCAATTGGGAAAGAGTAGGAGAATATTAGCAGTAATGGAAAGAAAGCCTAAGACAAGGAGGCATGGACCCAGGATCCGAGTACAAGTCCCCACACACATTGCAGAAGAGAGTCCTGGGGAAAAAAAATGAAACAGCGAATAAAATGATAACATCCCCTCCTTGTCTTCAACAGCTTGAATGCTAGAGTAGTGAGCATGCTGACTGAGGGTGAGGACAGTGATAATTCAAGATCCTGCCTGCCTATGCTATGTTTCTGATCTAAACTGCACCTCCCAAACTGTTACACGACTGCTTACTGGCAGTACTCAAGCTTCCTAACCTATTCTGCTTGCACTAATTTATACCAGAACATAGCAACTTTTTGCCTCCATACAGAGCACCTTCTCTAAATTCCTTTGAAGCTTGCTTACTACTGTCAGCAGAAGATCAATTGTACATTGAAAATATCAACTGAAATAAGATGAGGGTTTTCATAGGCTTCCATTATCTGCATACATGGATACATGGATACATCTTTGTTAATGCTTTCAGAACTAGGCTGCAAAAATCCAGTCAGCTGAATAGCACCAGAATTAGTTTCTGTTTCTCTTTGCTGCAATCTAGCTTTTGTTCAGAATTCTGCAAGCCAATTATCAGAGCCCTACATTTAAAGATATATGAAGGGCCCACAGCTGGAAAAGCTGCTCTAAATGTTTTCTTTTGATTTGAATTAATTTCCATAACTCACAAAACAGCAGCAAGAAGCATTTACGTATTATTTCTAATAAGATAAAATCATAGCAGGTTAAATTTTCACTCCCTCCCCCCATCAACACAACAATTCAAATCGGTAAAGCCAGTTCACATTACATTAAATTACATCCATATTGCTAAAGTCAAGTTCATACATCAAAGTTAAGGATGGATTAAAATATCTGAGAAAGAAACAAACATGTAGGACTTTTAATCTACACAAAGAACTTCATGAAATAGGAAAATATACACTCCCTGTCTAAAATTTGAATCCCTTTCTGGAGGCTGTTCATTAACCAGATGAACTACAAAGTTTTTTCCCCCTGAACTTTAATCTAAAATTGTATGGATATATAGCAGAATCTATCACATTTTCACTAGTCGTGCGATACACTGGACATGCAACTGGAAGTTATGTTAGTGTCCCTATTTTCTGCCTTTCAGCTGTATTCGAAATGATTAGAAGTTCTACCAGAATTGCCAGCAGGATGGCCTTACAGTATTTATTCATTTATGAGGCTTACATGCAATAACCTCAGATGGCTCACAGCATAACAATAAAACAGAACACAAGTATTGACAACAAAACTACATCTCAGGGTACCCACAAAACAACAGTCACTGTCCCAATACATCTGGAGTTGACAACTTAAGAGTAATCTACATTAGAAAAGACAACTGGTAAGGATATTCCTCAGTCATTCATCCAACAAACAAAGTAATACTAATCTCTGCAGTCAGCAAGATAGGTACTTGTATGTTCTATTAAGAGAAAAACACTGGTCCTTCTCAGATGGTTTGTTTCCAAGCCAGGAAGAAATACAAGATGTCGAACAATTGGTAAAGAGTTAACGAAGAAGCACTTTATTTTGCCCAACATCAACAAACAATATTGGACAGACAGTGTCCCAAACATTTCCAATCATCTTTCTTACAGATTACTGTTCCATAGTTTGACCCAATCATTAACAATATGGACACAGTGAATCAATTAATCATATTGTCTGTGGAGATTCTCAGTCATCCAGGTAATGGTTGTCCCAAAGGTGTATTTCAAAAGGCAACTAGACTTGGTTTTTCCTTGAAGACATTTCACTTCTCATTCAAGAAGCTTCTTCAGTTCTGATTGAATGGTGGAGGGTGGAAGGATTTATATTCCTTGCAGTCATCTGGTCATTAGCATTCATTCCAATGCCACTTGGAGATTTATCTGTACCCTCAGGGTCACCTGAATAGTGGAAATGAGTGTGGAACCTTCTTGGAACCACTGAAAGGACTGTGTTATAAACAGAAGATAGGTGGTAGTAAACAACGTCTTTGATTTTGCTCACTTACCTTGAAATGGACAAGCAAGTTCTTCCTTTATAGAATGGCATTGCTTACTATAACTCCTACGCTACTTTAAATATTATTTAAAGGGATAAAACAATATTCCAATGCTCCCAATAGCGAAGTATTCCCCTATCGAAGTGCAGTGCTTGAGAATAAAGTCTGGATCCTGCATAGCAATGCAGCACTTCAAAATTACAGTATTTTGAATTAGCCTATAAAAGTCTTGAACCACCTTAGCGAGGGAAATGACAAAGCAAACCACTGCTAAAAAGCAGTTTAGGTTTTCTATGTAGAAGTTTTTCTATTTCCTTTGGCCCCAAACAAATTAATCAGAACTTTGAGAATTCATTTTTCAGAAGTTTTCTACTTACTTTTGATGAACTGAATGCAGATGAAAGGAGTTGTAGGGCCGCTTAGAACTTCTTCCCACAAATGGTTGCTGCCAGTATTGCTAGAGATGATAGAGTTTTCTAGATAAGGCAGCAAAAATTGATGACTATTTATAGCCTTTGGAGTATAGGAAAACATCGGTACCCCTGCTTTTCTTTATCCCTAGATGGTTAGGTTTGTACTTCCCAATTTTTACACAACGATCACATGCTGTATCTCCCCATTATGGAAACTTAATGTAATTTTATGAGAAAAAAATCCTTGGACGGAAATGAGTAATGAACTTTGAAAGCTTCTGTGAGGAACTGGCATATGCATAGGAACTCACATGCAACATTCTTGCAACACATCATATACTTAAAAATATAATTGCTGATTCTATGGGAGTAACTATATCGTTCTGTTGCAACTACGTTATAAAGAATCTGGTACTATCTGATAGTACTTAAGACTATCAGTTTTTATTGAGGCCTAACTGATCATGACAGTGGCTCTTTCATGAAAACAGAGGTTACAATTTTGTGTAGTCTCCTGGGAGTAAGATTATGTAAACTAATTAGGGATTACTCCTGGACTAAAAGGTATAAAATGTATGTTGTGAGTTCTTTATTTTTGTTAATAATGTATCGTGAGAAATACTAGAACAGACTTGAAATCTCCCCTACACTTGACTCCTCTCTCCAGACCAATCAATAGTCTGATTTAGAAATTGTCCTTGTACAATAAACTTAACCAAGGATAACTGAATCAAGGTTTATTTTATGCAACTTTCTGGATTTATATAATAGTAATTATAAGCTACCTCCCAGTATGAATTTGAAAAATAGCTAATGAAAGATAATTGTTTTTCACCTTACAGAAGAAAGTCCTTGCTTATGAAGTTGTCCTTTGTTTCAGTTGAGGGGATGCTTTTTAACCCCAAACTTATGAACCTGGATTTATGCACATGCTTATACATACACCGATGATCTTAATACAGCTGATATTCCTGCAAAAGTTTCAACCCACCCAGACACACTGTGTATGTATTTTAACATGAAGAAGAGAAAGCTTGATAATAAAGTTAATAAATTGGAAAATGTTGCAATTGCCTAGTACTTCATTTAATTGCTTAAGATTGCTTCAGATCAGCTGTTTCCTTGAAAATAAAATGGCAATATATAAGCTATTAGAATCTTTGCTTAGAGATATTCAATTCCCCTTCGTTTCATGTTAAGGATAATCTATTGGTTAAAGTTTTAGAAGCCTACACACCTGGAACCTATCCAACTCAGGGAAGTGGGCTTTTGGTCTCTTAGCTGCTAACAGGCCATAACTGCCTTCCAAACAACTATCTTTTTCCCAATCTAACCACTAATATTCAACAAAGAGTTCACAAAACTATTCCTTCCTGCTTCACTAGAAGTAAAAGAAACCCACTTTGTAAAAATTGCTTCCATAGTATTATATTTTCTTTCAGAGTCTATAATTCAGAGCTTGAAAATTTGATTCAGAGCTTGAAAATTCTTTCATCTGAGCTATTGCTGATGAATTAATGCAGCCTTCCACAATGCAACTCTCAATGTGTTGGACTTGAGCAATAGTTAATTCCCAGTGGCTGGGAATTTGGAGGCTCTATAAAGTATGAGCAACAGATTTTATATGACCAGAAAATTATATAAATGAGTTGTTTCTGGAAAAATAGTGGGTGGTAACTATTTTTTGTTCTTCTTCACAGAGTCTGCTGACATAATAAATCTTGTAAATATTGCGTAAGAATTACAATTAGTCTTTGAATCAGTGCTTTGTTACAGTTTTAGTATTCATGATGACTCTTCAAATCTCATTAGCAAATTTGAAGCTTGTATGGAAAATCTGAAAACTTTTAACCTTCAAACCAAAATGATTAATGAGTGATATATAACAGATTCAATTTTGGATTGGCTTATTTGTTATATACCATTCTCACATACAAGTATGGCACAATGAAATTACCCTTTAATCTGAGCCCGATTTTTAGTTTTGTAGTAACATACCTGCACCAGAGGATTAAGAGAGAAGTCTAGAATACATTGTGTGTTTCACGTTGGTTTGAATTTTAGTGCTCCTTTGCCCTACATCTCTCTTAAAAAAGATTTTGCTAAATTTTGTTAATAGGGCAAATGCTACTGTAAAAATAATCCTATCAAGAATTACAGATGGTGAACTATCTGCTTTCAGAATAGCTTTTTTCCAATCTTGGGACAATTATGAATTAGCATAGGTGAAATGCTTATGCTACATAGATTTTAAGTTTTGATATCTAAAAGTAACCAAGTGAATAGAATCATAGAACATTTATTTGGCATATGCACTTACTAATTATATACTTACTAGCATCTGGTTAAAAAAACCACCTTAAGACACTGTGCTGAAATCACAACTATTTCTTAGTCTAAGGTGTAGAAGAGATTTGATTTTGTGTAATATCCTGATTTTATTTTCAACAAACCTCCCCCTCCACTGCAAAAAATCTTCCTTCCTTCCTTCCTTCCTCCCTCTGTTCTCTATCCCCCATTCCACACACACCAAACAGACTAAATAGTGAAAATGTCTGATTTATTTTCAGGATCAAAATATTACATTAGGAAGGACATTTACACATATTTATAAAAATGCAGCAGTTGTACATATAGATCAGAGGTTGCCTTGAGTTTGATCGTTCTCATCACAGCAAGTGAAATCTCTTCCCCCATTTTAAAATGATATCATAATGAAAAGAAATGGCTATTAACAGTGTAGACAATAGTTTTACATAGCTCAAGTTATAACAATATAAAGCTAGCAATCCAACTTTAAAAAGTTAATGTTTTGAAGGAACCATAATTTTATCAGAATCCAAATCACATCCTCCAAACTTAAATATTGATAATATTAATATCTCCATTTCTCCAAACAGATAAAACTTTCATTTTAAAATTTTGGAATGCCTTTTGAATTCACCTTCTAATATTACACCAGCAGCAATGCCACATATTTAAAAGTGAAAAAATGCCAATGAAGAGGTAATCTCAAATGATTTTGCAGATGGTAGGCTTGTCAATATCAAACATTATTGTTGCTTATCAATTGATTGCATTAGACACTCCCTAAACTCCAACTGCCAGCAATGCGTTGTTGTTTAGTTTTGTGTGTGTGTGTGTGGGGGGGAGTGCTAGTCCTCCAAAGATCCTTTCAAAGTTCTCTGTGACCACTAATCTGCTTCAATAGCAAACTAAAATAGGACTGAAATACTAGAACCCCCAATAGGTTCTATTCATTTTTTTTGCTAAAAATTGTCTCTAGAAATAACAGTATACAATTATTTTACATAAGATAGAATGATGTTTAGGTCTAGAGACAACAGAGGACAATCTAGAATCAGGCATGGATTCACAACATCTTTTACATAATTCATATCCCTATTCCTTGAACAGTAAGCTTTAAAACAAAAAACTTGTAAAAATGCTAGTAACAATAACTTTTAAATTATCCAATTATAATAATTTTGTTCCTAATTTAAGATTTATGTGCTGCTTTTCCGCTTGGAAGACACTTTCTACAGTTCTCCCCTTCTCAGAATATCTTAGAGCTACCATACATAAGGCCTTCAGCTACTCATCTAAATATTTTAAGGGTATTTTGCTAAATTATTTTTCTTCAGACTGAAGAAACTACTTGGATGAGCAGCGAAAGGTTTCAAACCAAAAAGAAATCCAGTTGCCATGATTCAACTTCCAGACTATTTTAAAGATAAGAATAAAAATCAATAAATGGAAGATATGTAAGATAAAGTTATAAAAAATTAACTAAATGTTGATTAAATGAAAATTTTTTGCAGTTATCCTGGTTTCTGTGCTTGAATCAGCTCCATTCCAAACATACCATTCTCACTTTTTCATAGATTTTGTTAAGGGAAGTAGTGGACATATACAAACAAGTTTGCTGCTTACCTAATCTCTAGCATACTCAGCAGTACTAGGCCAGAAATCTTGTGGGTTTATTATAGGAGGGCCTTTATTATCTGCACTGGGCAACCTTTGGGTAGTCAGGGTCCATATTCAGGGGGAAGTGGAGGCAGGCTAAAGCTTGCAGTTGGCAAGGCAAGGCAAAAATAGCAAATCACACAAGAGGGCAGGCTCCAATTTCCAGGGTACATTTTCCCCTGGTACTGAGCATACGCAACATTCTGTTTGCCTCATGGACAACAGCAGGTATGAAATCTGACCTCTAATGATCAATAATGTGCTTCCAAAATAACTGGTACAATTTCGGGGAATGTTGAGAACTGCTCCGAATATGAATGAAAGCACTTTCCATTAAAGGCAATGCCAACATTAAGGGCAAGAATTCTGAGAAAAGATCAGATCTACTTTTGCTGCTGTGATAAAACAAGAGTAAAACAAAGTGATTCATATGTTTATGATTAGGTGCAGGACAAGGTCAATCCAAAGGCGTTTCTTTTTATAGTAACTGTAGAAATCCTTCTCCAGAAAAGCTCATCTGGCATAAATATTGTTACATCCTTATGCTCAGCAGTGGGGAATAAAAGGCCCTGATATAATTTACTAATTGATACCTACATGGATTTGGGGTGGGATGGGAGCTGGGTTAAATTGGTATAAACTACTGAACAAGGAAAAAATTATATTTGTGTTCGAAGATTTAAAAAATACAATTTAATGACTTGTGGCTATTACCACTGCCATTCTTCCAGTAATTTATAAACTGCCAATGAGTTTAGCAAACTGATTAAAGTAAGGATCATACTGCAGGCTTTTAAAGATTTTCTTTAAATATGGCAGAAAATGCAGATCTTATTCTGAACTTTTGTAGGATAACTACTGACACCTGAGCCTATCCAAGCATATGGAACTTTTACAAACATTTCCAGATTTCTGTATATGATAAATTTATGAGTAAACAAGTTATTAGTTTGGATGAAACATCACACAGCTCATATATAGATAGGAATAGCTTTTTAGAGCAGATCAAGAACTTTAAAAGATTTCTGAAAGGTAAGGCAGAAGGAAAGGTCACAAGAAAATTGAAGGAAAAATAAAGTGTGAAAGATGGTAAAAAAAAAGTTAGAGCAACAGTAGACAATATTTGTTACGAATAGTCTAGATAAATTTTAACAGATAATACTAACTAGAGCATCAACCTTCACTGTTCTTTTTATCTATGTCTCAAATGTTTGTAGGCATCAATTTTAAAAAACATTTTATATTTAAAGCTAGATTTGTTACTGAGTATATTGCTGGGTCTCCATTAATTTAGGAACACAATAGCTGCATGGTTTTGAACATAAAAGCAATTGTGGCCTATGTATAAAACACTTATTAATCCATGCTACATTTGTCTTACATCTGTTACTAGTATCTGTACAGGGAAAAAAAACCTAAGCAAGGAAATGTTTTCATTCTACAATGCAGTACAAGTATCTTTAATCCTTAAATTCACATACATGGATCAATCAAATGTAATGGCAATACAACCCTTCCTACTACAGTTTAACAACAAATATTACCAGATCCAAAATGATCCAACACTCAGCTGCCATTGTATAAAATCTGGAGCACATCCATAATTTTTTGGCCATTTAGAACAAATGATGGCAAGCAGCTATTTGTTTTTTTCAAACCGTATTTATTATTGGGAAACCATGTTTACTGGTTTGTACTTTAATTAAATTTTATTAACTTAATTAATTAAATTCAATTGTTCATCAAAAATATTTTTAAATTACTGAAAAAAATGCTTGCTTGGAGCCCAGAATCTGTGCGCGTTCACTATATGTCATCCAAATGGCAGAATAGTGAACGAAAACCTTAAGAAGAGGTTTTATATGTTTTATATTTAATCTCTATGAATGTTTCACTGCTGGTAACATTTTGAAAAGAAAAAAGAAAAGAAGAGAAATCANTGGCAGCTCCTGCCCTCTGGAATGACCTACCCCCCGACCTACGTACAGTTGCGGACCTGCGCCTTTTTCGCCGAGCCCTGAAGGCCCATCTATTCCGTGCGGCCGGCCTGGCGTAGTTTGATTATGTTTTAGTGGGGGTTTTGTATGGGGTATTTTAGAGCAGGCCTGTTATTTAATTTGATTTTAGAACAGAAACTTGCGTATATTTATCATGGTTTTTATTATGCCTGTTCACTGCCCTGAGTCCCGTAAGGGAGATAGGGCGGTATATAAATTCAATAAATAATAATAATAATAATAATAATAATAATAATAATAATAATAATAATAATAATAATGTTTGCATTCAATTGTTTGTTGATTCTTTGTTTGAAATATGAAATGATATATTTGGGATCATTTTCAAAAGACTTTAGTGAATCAGCACATAAGTAAATGAATCTCTACAGTTCTATTCTGTAAATAATTTAGTAAATTGACAGAATTTATTCTTCCCCTTTATGACCACTATAGTTAGGCAATAGTTTGGGATCTATGTATACCACGTGAAAGGCACTGGGGAAAGCACAGTTTGAGAGATACAAAATAAATTACACACTTTTTTTATACTTTCTGTCCTTTGGCTGATTACAAATAGAAAGAAGTTTCTTCAACTGCCCGTAGAGATTCATACAAGACGAGCATGTTTTCACATACATGTATATTCCTCATCTTTCCTTCACAGATTCCTTTAATACTTCCTATCCAGGAATGGGGTTGAGCAATCTTTCTGCAGCAAGTCTGCTGTTTTACTTTCTAATTTTGAAGTGGGGTAGTGGTGATGGTGGTGGCAGAAGTGAAAAGACGGGTGGCAGAAGTGAAAGGACATGATTGAAGTTTTGGGTTAACATAGGGATTTTGTGGGACATTTACAACCCAAAATGGGAAGCTTTGTACACCTGTTTTTATTGTTGTTTTAAAAAAGTAAAAATCACCTTGGTATTTCGCTGCTGAATAGAAATGCAAAATAGTCCATGCATGAAGGTTATTATATTTTTGCAAGATGTGGTACTGGCTATCGGCTTGGTTGACTTCATAAAGGGTTGGATCAATTCATGGAAGTCTTGAGGATCAATGGCTACTAGCCTTAATGACAGTGTAACTGCCTCCAATTGCTGCGCTTCATTGTGCAAGTTGGTTGTCCACTGTGAGAACAGACTGCTAGATTAGATGGGCCAGGATCTGATATAGTAGGACACTGTTTATGGTCTTATTTTTTTGCATTTTTTAAAATCTGAATTTTATTCTCACTTTTAATATTCTATAAGATAAACAAGAATACAAACTAACTTCCAAATAGCAAATCTTGAAATGCAATCATAGTTCCCATATATTGTTAGATTCATCAAAATTAGAGCTTAACAAACTGAAGCATACATATTTAATACATATATACAAAGCTGAGAAATGGTAAGTACTAAAACAAGAACTGTATCTATCTTGATGTTTTAATTATTTCTACATACCAGAAGCTTAGCTTGTTCAGGCAATGAAATCTGTTCCCTCTTCCCATCTGGATATCTTAACATTAGTTGTGCTTTTGGTCCTGATAAAAAAAAGTTAAATGCTAAGTACAACTGCATTTAGTTTTTGCCTTTATTACTTTGATAATGGAATACCCACCACATAATAAGGTTTAGTAGAAAACAACAAATGAATTAAAAAAATTCTTTTCAAAATGTCAGATTTAGGGGGGTGATTAGTGATCACTCCTCAAACCTAGAAAGATTATTGTATAATGAAAAAAATCCTAAATAATCAACTGGAAAAATACTTTTTGGCTTATTAAAACAGGGGTCCCCAACCCCTGGGCTGCGGCCCATTTGGAACTAGGCTGTGCAAGCGGCAGGCGCATACGCTTGGGCACGCAGCTCCATTTGCATGAGTGGCGGGCACTCGCACACATGAGTGAAGTTCCATTTGTCACTAAAACAATGTCTCTCAACAGATGTTGATGCAATTAAACTCTCCCGTCACTACAGATTCATGCCTGTTTTGCTTTTGAAAGGCGTCATGCATGTTTTCCCCTTGGTTGCACAGGCAGTAGCAAAGACCAAGAAGAGTATTTATAATTTTTATTCCTTTTTCTGGTTATTTTAAGTGGGAATGGATTTTTTTTACCCTTCAATTACTGTATTCCAGGTTAGTAGTACACACTCTATACCCTATAATGAACATCTCTGCATCTGCGGAGCGGCAGAGGTTGAGGACCTGGCTCAAATCCTATTTCACTGCTGCCTGTATAAGAGGGTGAGAGACAGGTACCTTGGCCTATACACTAAACAAATGACCCATTGGGACCCCCATATCAAAATAACTTACCTTATGTGTGGCCAGAATTTGAAAATTACATTTAACACAGCACAGTACCTGAGGAAAATGGTTCGATTGAGATCGTCATATGTGAGACTGATTGGGGTAGATTGTAGGGGTGATAGATAGTGAAATATAATTTTATCATATTTTATCTTTTTATCATATTTTATCTATCTACATCTTAAATTGCCATATTTTATTCTAATTTCATTTTAAAAATGTATTTTATCCCAATTTCATTTTACATTATATTTTATTTCTATTTTATCCTAATTATATTTTAACTAATTCCATTCTAAATTGTTTTTACTGCATTTTTAGTATAACGTGCGTTTGGAACTCTGCACCTTGATATGGTCCATGGGCTAATCAATAAAGATTATTATTATGATTTATCATCACATATATTAGCAGGAAGAGATTACTGTCGGTGGACTTGATAATCCTTGGGATTTGCTGTGATATCCTTTATATTTATTCACAGACAGCACACTTGACAAGTCAATGGCTACAGCCAGCATATATTTGTTTTGATCCTCAATTATTCTCATTCTTCGTTTTGTTTTCTAATGGGACAAAACCACATTCTTTCTCTCCTTTAAGGAACTACCATCCTATCTCCCAATATGAAGTGCCTCTTATTCTTCCCCTCAATGTTCAGAGTTTGTTTTATCTTCAAAAATGTGAAAAGTGAGTTTTAGCACCTTCTATATCACTTGATTCTGATAGTTATTATCATACACTGGGCTTCTTCCTCCATTTGACTGTCTTCCTTAGAGTTGTTTCCAGTGTTAGTTTAAGTAATACCACCTCCATTTTTTAAAAGGAAACCTAAAACTCTTTCTCATTCGACGAAATGTGGTTCTTTCACAATAGTTGTGCGAATGTGCTAATAGTGTATTTTTTTCTTCAAGGATTGCTATAAGCTTGCATTTGCTGTTAATATATATCACATTATTTTTAGGTAGAAAGTCAAATATGGCACAAACATCGAACTCCCAACTTCTCTCAGTATCTCCTAGGTCAGGGGTAGGCAACCTTGGCTCTTTTATGACTCATGGACTTCAACTCCCAGAGCTATGCTGGCTCAGGAATTCTGGGAGTTGAAGTCCATGAGTCATAAAAGAGCCAAGGTTGCCTACCCCTGACCTAGGCTACTACCAATTGAAAGCCTTTTATTTATTTAGTCAAATTTAGAGGCCACCTGATTCCTAACAACTAGGGAGTAAGGGGGGTTACAATTTAGAAACTGAAAAAATATCAGAAAACAATTCATGGAACTGTCCAAAGTAATAAATAAACAAATATGCCATTTAAGAGGGACTCAACCATCACTTTTTCCAAACCTTCTCCATTAGCTTCGTAATCTGTCCTTCCAATAATTTAACAATATACTATGGTTGATAAATGTATTAGGGTTGAAAACCTATTTTGTATTATAATACTGTCCTGACAAAGAACCAATTATGTGAAGTTACTGAAATTAAAAAAATACTAGCCCCTATAAAGAAAACCTTCAGCTGAATAGTGATTCATGGCAGTGTTGTAGTCACATAAAATTATACATTTTAGCATGCACAACACTTTTATCGATTTGTTATACCAATCAAGTTATATATGTTTTGATTGAACAATACATATTACTTTTCATCACTGAAAGTACAATTCCCAGCAGATCCAGCTAGCTGCCAATGGAGAAGATGCTGGAAGTTATTGTTTACCAACTTCCACAAAAGAACAAATTTTTAATCCCTCATGTAGATTGTGAACTGCTTAGCCAGGTTTATACTTTTTTACTACTTAGGTTCATTCAATTTATTAAGTGCAGCAGAAAGAAAGAAATACTCTTTGGTAAAGATTTCTTGATGAGACTTTTGTAAAGTTCTGAAATTGACTAAGTGATAGGAACCATACTTACCATTCACGCTTGGTTCCTTCTGTAAATCTTCTGGCTTAGTTTCAGTTTCTTCTAGCACTCCTGAATCTAGAGAAGATAGTCCCCTGTGGTTTATTGTCATCTCGGGTTCAGTTCTTGGTTCAGGTTGAGGTTTTCTGCCTTCTTCTTTTCTACATCCCAAATCCTTGTGTGGAGATTTTCTAGATTTGGCAGAACTTTCTGGCTCATCATCATCAGAACCACAAACAGAAATAAACTCCTCACTTCCAGAGAAAAGCTCTGATTCGGACTCTTCATCTGATCTGCTTTCCTGCTTGATTTGTTCAGAGTCAAAATGTGTTTCTTGTAATGATGCCCTGATTGCAGCTTCCAACTGGCTATCTTCACTCGCATCAATCAAGCTCTCCTAATCAATCAATCATAACACAAAAGAAAAAGGTGAGTTACTTTAAAACACATATTTTGAGACAGTGAGAGGGGAAGAGAAAGGCTCCATATACTTTTATTTCTTATTAAGAATAGCTGGGGAGGAAAGCTATGGCAAATCTAGACAGCATACTAAAAAACAGAGACATCACCCTGCCAACAAAAGTACGTATAGTCAAGGCCATGGTTTTCCCAGTTGCAACGTATGGCTGTGAAAGTTGGACTATGAGAAAGGCTGAGCACAAAAGAATTGAGGCCTTTGAACTATGGTGCTGGAGAAGACTCCTGCGAGTTCCCTGGACTGTAAGGCGATCAATCCGGTTAGTCCTAGAGGAGATCAACCCTGACTGCTTTTTAGAAGGCCAGATCCTGAAGTTGAAACTCAAGTACTTTGGCCACCTAAGAAGAAGGAAGGACTCACTGGAGAAGAGCCTAATGCTGGGAAAGATTGAGGGCAATAGAAGAAGGGGACGACAGAGAATGAGATGGCTGGATGGAGTCACTGAAGCAGTAGGCGTGAGCTTAAATGGACTCCAGAAGATGGTAGAGGACAGGAAGGTCTGGAGGAACGTTGTCCATGGAGTCGCGATGGGTCGGACATGACTTCACAACTAACAACAACAGGAATAAAAAATATACTGTTTTTGTCATTATACTTACTGAGCGAGTACGTTTCTGGGGAGGGCTAGTGGAATGTCCGTCCAGTTGTCCATGTTCACCTAGGAACCCAGTCACTTGGTCCAAAAAAGAAGTTACATCTAATTGATGCCATTCCACTAGTTTCTGCCCTGTTAAAAATAACAATAAATTGTACTTCAGTAACCGAAATCTTAGATCACCAAAATCATCATGGATGCTATTTTAATTTTTTATTGATTGTAGAGGCAAGAAACATTGTGAATAAGTAAAAAAAATCAATGGCTAATTAGAAGCTCTTAATCCTAAGTATCACAATAGCCAATTATATTAAAAGGGATTTAAAAAACATAGGCAAAGCAAACGTGAATATTAAATTTAACATTAAATGTAAACATTAAACCTATTATACCTGATCAAGTTCATCTGATATAGACTGGAAATATGGCTAATTAGTCAGTTCTGGAAATCTTGCCGGCAAACACGGAAACTATAGTCCTTCTCTTGTTAAACCAATGACATTATTTATCGTGTTATATAAGAACACAATTCAGAGTTAATATGCTTTCAGCCTTTTTTCCTCTTCTTACCTGTCCTGGGGTCCAGGATAGACACATAAGGGAAATCTCCCAATTTATAGAATTGTATGTATCTTTGTCCTTCCTCACTGTCGTGGTATACCTGTACAATAGTCAAGAAGGTTCATTTAAAATTTTTGAAAACATTTGAATATTAAAGCAATTTAGCATTTGTTAATAAAATCTGATACAAAATATGATATGGATAAGGCCAGAGTAAATATCAGATAAATATTGGCTGTTTCTAATTTTTTAGTTAAACTGAAAATAATGCCTTTATACCTGCCAAAAAATGAAGTGTTCCCGGATAATATTTTTTACAGCATCATTGCTCCAAACATCACGATTGAGACACTGACAGGCAAAATCCTGCACATTCTGTATATTAATCATGAGCCACTTGTTCTGCATTTGACCACATTCCTTGGCCTGAAGACAAACAGAACATTAAGAACATTAGCCAAAAAAGAAAAGTTTTCAAGAAACAATGCCAGCAATGATGGCTTCTATTTATTGTTCTAGGCTTTTATAAACCCTTTTTTATTTGTTAAGTTCTATCAGGACTCAACAATTTAATACACGAACAAGCATGACAAGCAGCGTGCAGGGTTAGAAGTCTCTGCAGGTCAACTTGTCATATCAAGATTACACATTGGTAATCTCAGACCGATGAGTGTTAACATGCCAAAGAGAGAGAGTTAGGAAAATAAACTTTAATTCCAAAACTGACTGAAAAAAAGGGAAATAAATGAATAAAACATTTAGAAGAATATATGGAATCAGTTGCACTGATTTGATTACAAAGCAGATTATCTGATTCAACAGACAAAATAAATTTGGCAGATTAGGATTAAGATTCTTGATAGATTGTTGTTCAACTATTCATTTCCTCTAATTTACCATTCATTCATATATGTTATATTGTAGTATTATTGGTGAACTTTTTGTTGACCAGATTGCAAGTGGGGGAGGTGGCAGGGTTTGAAGTTGCAGGAAGAGATCTTACTGGTTTGAGTCTCAAAGCTGGCATTGCCTGATTGGTTGGTTGCAAGTTAATGTAGGAGTTTGATCAAGAATGTAATTCTGATCGCTGAATTGTCATACCTGTTGAAAAAAAGAGTGCTATATCAAAAATTGGAATGGTCATATTTCCTAAATAACTAGGACAAAAATATGTGGGGTTTCCTTAAAGGAAATTTACTCATGAGTTTAATTAGTTATGAAAAGAAACACAGATTCACGAGTACCCCTTTTTGACTATGCATCTTGGAAAATAAGATTTCACTTTTAAAAAGTGAAATATCTGATCCATTGGCCATTGAATAAGCACCACAATGGACACAGAAGCACTCACCTATATTGAAATAAAGCAATATAGAACACAGTTTTCACTAGGATTTTACAACAAAACATCTTTCTCAGGTCAACCACTAAAACAATATTGTAGTGGAGACATTTCAGTGCCAAATAAATATAAATAGGTTGATTTATTATTGGAGGAAAAGATAATTTGAATAGCCACTTTGATTGAAAGACAAAATTTATATAATCTTATAATAAGCTTATATATTGCTTTTGAAAATTTACAAATAAATATGTATAAATTGTGTGTACACTTCCAGTTCAAACTTCATTTTATAATTATATTCCATAATATCTTTGCAAGACCCAAGCACCAATGAGATCCTTTCTTTCACTCATGGAAAAATGTGCATAAAAATAAGCCTGGACTTTTTCAGGGTTTTCAGTTTTATACTTGATTGTTTAGGTTAAAATGTTAAAAACCAAGTATTTATTAGTTTAACAATTTTTTGTTTATAGTATTTTAATTAGTTAATGGATCAGTGATATAGATTTGTTTTATTTTGACAACTAATTATTTAAATAGAATTTATAAATGGCAAGACATACTATAAATTAAATAAAAACCAGCATTAAAGTTACTGTGTTTTTATTATAATTTTAGTATTATTTAAATTTCTGTTAATATGTAAATTGGTATTCTAATTTTTCTTATTTTTTGGTGATGGAAAAATGACCATTCTACAGTTAAAGTTATGTTAATAAACTCTTTTCTTGAATTAAAATGGAAATATTTCTTCTCAGTAATTTTATTCTGTATTGGAGATTAAGAGATGTATATTTTTCAGCCACTAATACCTGCTATGACAATTAAAATGCCAATATGCAGGAAGCCACTTGAACATCTGAAGAAATATTTTAAGAGAATTGCCTCAGAATAGATACTTGCATTAGGATTACAATATAACATATTGATCCAGGATGTTAACCAACTGACCAGGTATTGGAGTAAATCAACACCATAATAGTAAAAGGTCTGATCTTCTCCATTAGTTAAATCAATGAAATGTATGATAAATGCATTATTATAATATAACCATAATAATATTTAGAAAATCTCAAAAATGCACATATCAACTAAAATTATCTATATTTTTATGATTTGTCTTAAAATTATAAAACAGTTGATTTATTAAATACATTGCCTCCCTATTGATACTGACATTTTCTCAACATGCTTAATATGGCTGATTCTTTTTTTAATGCATTTGAATTTGACATATGAATTCAAGATAACAAATCTTGCTTATAAACTGAAGAAGCTTCTTGGATAAGAAGCAAAATGTCTTCAAGGAAAAAACCCCTTTGAGACTTGCTTATAAAACTTATAGTGGACTAGGTTATGCAGCATGACATAAAAATGGAACTAAAATATGTTTTATGTTTATCCAAAATAGCTGTACCATTCAAAGAATTCAATGTACATTTTATTGGGTTCTCCCATGCTATGGAAATAATTCAAAGACACTTCAGAATGTTCAGTGGAACAAACACAGTACTGGCTCCTTAAAGCAACCATACTTTTACTGGGATTGTGCAACAGCTATATAGTCCTATTTACTGCTCTAGAAAAGGAAACTAAATAAAGCAAATGCCTTTTTTATCTAGCTTTTTTCTACATCGCAATATTGTTTATATAGTTTCACCTATCTGGCTTTATTACACTCATAAAACTATGTATAAATTTATCAAGTAAGTTAAATATTTTCAGAAGAAACAGAAGGCTTAATAAATAAGTAGCAATAATAAATAAATATCAATATGCTAAAGCAATTGCAGAATTTAACATAAACCTGATAGATGTGTTAAATCTACAACCTGGTGTTTATAGTTTAATTAAAATATTTTAGTTTAACTCAGAAGGTAAATGAGGGTTCTACTTTTTCACACTGGTTAAAAGAAGCTAAATTATGTACCATGAATGTATTTTTAATGAAACACTTATACAGTTTCATTTTCATATGAGTTAAACTTTTAATTGCATATAGGATAACAATAATGAACATATATATATTGACCAAGCTTAAAATCTGACCCCGTCCCAGAAAAAAATTCTTGAAAGCTTAACTGTAAGTTGAACACTAGTGTAGTGACTGCTGATATATATTTAAACCAGACTATAAAGCATAAAACCTTTAGTCTTAAGCCACAATTTATGGCTTCTCAAAACTGTTCAAGCACGCTAACATATATAAAAACCCATCATAATGGTTTACCTTTGTGATAAGTTTTGTTACAGAAGTGAATGTCTGTAAAAATACAACTTCGTGTATGCAGTAACATTATTTTTCAATAATGAAGGAAGAGCAAATGATTTGAAAGGAAAGACTAAAAAAGGAATGCACGTACAGATGTGGAAGCTAGGACAGCTGGCAAGAATAAATATTAGGAGCAGATATAGTGATTCCTTCCCTTTTCACTTAACTCCTGTTATTTTGTTTACTACTTTCTACTTTTTTTCTGCATTTTCCACAATGTTCCTTAATATAGAAGGGAACAGAGCGATGAGTATGCATGTATGGGTGTATGGGGAGAAAAAGGTATATTTTGATAAGTTCCTATATCTAACTTGGTTAATGGTAAATTACAGGTAGTCATTGATTTATGACCACAATTGAGCCCAAAATTTATGTTGTTAAGTGAGACATTTGTTAAGTGAATCACTGCAGTTCTTAAATTACTAACATGGTTGTTAAATGAATTTGGCTTCCCCATTGACTCTGCTTGTCAGAAAGTTACAAAAGATGATCACGTGACCTTCAGACACAGCAACGGTCATAAGTATGTGTCAGTTGCCAAGCATCTGAATTTTGATTACATGACCATGGGGATGCTGCAAAGGTCGTAAGTATGAACAATGGTTCACGTTTGGCAGCTCGAATCTTCAGCTCCCTCCACAGAGTTTCTATGGAATTAAGGTCTGGAGACTGGCTAGGCCACTCCAGGACCTTAATGTGCTTCTTCTTAAGCCACTCCTTTGTTGCCTTGGCCATGTGTTTTGGGTCATTGTCATGCTGGAATACCCATCCACGACCCATTTTCAATGCCCTGGCTGAGGGAAGGAGGTTCTCACCCAAGATTTGACAGTACATGGCCTTGTCCATCATCTCTTTGATGCGGTGAAGTTATCCTGTCCCCTTTGCAGAAAAACATCCCCAAAGCATAATGTTTCCACCTCCATGTTTGATGGTGGGGATGGTGTTCTTGGGATCATAGGCAGCATTCCTCCTCCTCCAAACACGGTGAGTTGAGTTGATGCCAAAGAGCTCAATTTTGGTCTCGGCTGACCACAACACTTTCATTTGAATCATTCAGATATTAATTGGCAAACTTCAGATGGGCCTGTACATGTGCTTTCTTGAGCAGGGGGACCTTGCGAGCGCTGCAGGATTTCAGTACTTCATGGCATAGTCTATTATCAATTGTTTTCTTGGTGACTATCGTCCCAGCTGCCTTGAGATCATTGACAAGACCCTCCAGTGTAGTTCTGGGCTGATTCCTCACCGTTGTCATGATTATTGAAACTCTACGAGGTGAGATCTTGCATGGAGCCCCAGACCGAGGGAGATTGGCAGTTATTTTGTGTTTCATCCATTTGCGAATAATCACACCAACTGTTGTCATCTTCACACCAAGCTGCTTGATGATGGTCTTGTAGCCCAATCCAGCCTTGTGTAGCTCTTTGGTCTTGGTCATGGTGGAGAGTTTGGAATCTGATTGATTCATTGCTTCTATGGACAGGTGTCTTTTGTACAGGTAACAAGCTGAGATTAGGACCATCCCTTTAAGAGAGTGCTCCTAATCTCAGCTTGTTACCTGTATAAAAAACAGTGGGGAGCCAGAAATTTTGCTCATGGATAGGGGATCAAATACTTATTGCACTCATTAAAATACAAATCAATGTATAACTTTTTTGAAATGCGTTTTTCTGGATTTTTTTATTATTCTGTCTCTCACTGTTAAAATTAACCTACCATTACAATTATAGACTGATTATTTCTTTGTCAGTAGGCAAATACACAAATAATTTTTTCCCTCACTGTATGCTTACAGGCAAATAGTACACTGCGTGTAGGGCAATCAGTCAAGTCTTGATAGGAAAAATAACTCTGAAAGTGACTTCAAATGCAAATAAAAGATAAAAAGGCCTGATATTATTTTCACATATAAATGCTGCACAAAATGTATTACTTTTGAATAAACTTATTTCCATTCCCCCCTTGAAGCAACAAGAAAACTGTTGCAAGGGGGTGGCAGTAGGAGATCATTTATTTCTGTCCTGACTTTTTTGGTAAATTCAATTCCAAGAGTTTTAATTTTTTCAATAGGTTCATTTAGTATATATTAACACCAGGAAGCGTAAGGAATGATTTAAAGATTAGTAATTTAGGAAACTATTGATTTTCTTCCATTTACAAAGTCCAAAACTGCAGTTCCAAGTTTATTAACCAAACAGTAAACAATGAACAATCAAAAATTCAAGATTCTGTTTTATACTATTATACAGATCAACAGCTATTCTAATCCACTACTGTTTAGTTTGGTCATTTTTTTCTCCAATAAAAATCTTTCTCAACCATGTCATACCAGAGAGCTTAATTTTCAATGTAAAGAACACGTGGTATGTTTTTGAATTATAATTATAATTCAAATTATATTAGTATAATATACAACAATATAGTAGAATACAATAATATAGTATTGAATTATAATTCTTCCTACAAATGTATTAAAGGAAATGATTGATGACAGATTTCTAAACCTAAAGATAGAAAAAGACCAATCCTTATTTTATGTATATATGTTGCCATTAGAAAATGATCATTTAATTGATATTATTCAAATCTATTTCTTAATTACTAACTTCTACTTGAATACTTCTTAATGAGAGAACACAGTATGAGACTAATGGATATAGTCAAAAGCTACCTCCTCAAATGAAGTTATTAATTACAAGCAACTTCCTCTATTGCAGTAATAAAAATACAGATTGCTGGATTTGTTTATACACATTACCATGACATAATTTACACATGCACATGCACAGCTATACCAAAGCCAATCCAAAATTCAATGCATCAAAATGACCTACTGTTTCAAAGCTTCCTTTATGCATCAAATCAATTGGCGGCCTGAAGAGATCTGCAAGGGTAGTGAGCTTCTTATCTATGGCTCCTCCATTTCTTAATTCTTGCTCCTGCCGAACTATAGAGCCCCAAAACAAAAACAAAGAAGACAAAATATTCACAAGAGCAGATTCAGTTACTTCACCAAGTGCAATGTGACTGTACTATTGTGATTAGCCTAAATCAGTTTTATACTAAGTATCTTTTGGTAATAGCCATTACATGTTTATACATTTTTGGCATGAAAGCTGACTGGGCGACAATCTGGCTCTAGTCCAGTCACTCTTCCTCGGCCCAACCTACCTCAGAGAATTGTTGTAGGGAAAATAGAAGACGGGAATATTAGGTATGTTCACTTGTTTGGGCTATCTATCTATCTATCTATCTATCTATCTATCTATCTATCTATCTATCTATCTATCTATCTATCTATCTCTATCTATCTATCTATCTATCTATCTATCTATCTATCTATCTATCTATCTATCTATAACTATCTGGGAAAAAATCATCATCATCATTATGTTCAGTAATAGATATTACACTCCTAAACTTGTAATTTAAATATTCACCAAATATTTAAATATTACAAAATTATTGTTTTTGGCCTCCTGGCAGATTTTTTTTTTGTTCCCTTCCTTTAACAACAAAGCAATGGGTTAATAATCAACCAGCTCTTTTTAAAAATAGCTATATAGTAATTAAAATCTTGGTTTCTAAAAAGTGAGGTGTGAACAGAAAATCTCTATTAGAATCTAGTTTTTACTCCTTTCATCTAATTCTTGCCCTTCTTTACATGCTCCTTTATCTATATATAAGATCCGGAATGCACTTGGGACGGTTGTCCATTCACTGTGCAGATGTTCCTGTATAGCTTTCTCCATCATCTGCACCTTGGGTCCTGTCTGGTTTGGTATATTACTGATTCTATGGCTTTGGGTACTTAGTGCCTGTTCTTTTTTTATATATATATAGATTTTATTAGTTTTTATAGGGTCAGGGATAAGGTTGGGTCAGAATTAGGGTTGGAATTTAGGTTAGGGTTAGGGTTGGGTTTTTTCCAGATAACATTTTCAATATTTAGCAAACAGGATAATGTCTGGGTACATGTATTTAACTAACAATAATATATATAGTTAATTATCATAAACAATATGTTAATTCATCACTCAATAGCCTTCCTCTTGCTAATATATATTCAAAATTACATATCACATTCCTTTCTCTCTGACTCGTTTTTCTAGCCATTGTTCTCTTTAATCTTTAAAGTCAATCTATCCATTTCTGCACACTCTAGGATTTTTTTAATTAGTACTTCTTCAATTGGTAAATTTTCATTTTTCCAATGTTGGGCAAATACAATTCTTGCTGCCGTTAATATGTGTAGTATTAGATATCTGCAATCCTTCTTATAATTAGCTCCTATTATTCCTAACAAAAATAATTCTGGTTTAAAGTCTATTTGTTTTTTAGTCATTTTCTCCAACCATAAATGTATTTTAACCCAAAATCTTTTTGCTTTGGGGCATGTCCATCAGATATGATAATAAGTACCTGGTCTCTGTTGCATTTCCAACAGTTGTTTGAAGTATTTTTAAACATTTTTGCTAATCTCACTGGTGTCATATGCCATCTGTAAAACATTTTATATAAGTTTTCTTTATATGATGCTGCTTTAGTTAATTTAATATTTCTTTCCCATAACTTTTGCCAATCTTTTAATTCTATATTATATCCAAAATTCTTTGCCCATATTATCATTGTTTCTTTTACTTGTTCTTCCTCCATCTTTAACAGAAATCTGTAGAGTTTCTTAATCAACTTTTCATCTGTTTTTAGCAATATCTGATCAAAGTCTGTCTGTTCTTTATAAAATCCCATTGGTTTAACATCTTTTTCATATCTCGTTTGAATTTGCAGATATGGCCACCATGCTAAATCAATACCTTGTTCTTGTAACTCTTGTCTTTCAATTTTTCTTCATTGTCCAAAATATTTTTATAAATCACAACTTTATCATAGTTAATTAAATTTGGGTAAGCAAAAGCTTCCATTGTTGAAAGCCATTCAGGTATCTTAATATAAATTTTTTCTTTTATTCTTTCCCATTCTGAAAAAAGTGCATTCCTTATAACAGTGGTGGCGAACCTATGGCACGGGTGCCAGAGGCGGCACTCAGAGCCCTCTCTGTGGGCACACGTGCCGTCGCCCCAGTCCTAGGCCTTCAGCTGGGTTTTCACTTTAGGCCTCTGCTGCCGTGTACAAAAAAAAAAAGGTTCAATCAATCAGTCAATTTCAACTTCTGTGGGGAAAAAAAGATTTTGCAAAGTTGGAATTGATTGATTAAACTTTTTAGTCCCACCCAGTCTGCTATTACCACTGCAGCCACGCCCACCCAATGGGCCACACCCACCCGGCACCTGACGATGCATAAGTGGGTTTTGGGTTGCAGTTTGGGCACTCAGTCTCTAAAAGGTTCGCCATCACTGCCTTATAAAATGGTTTTGAAAGTATCTATGTATTTTATTTTTTCCATACCACAGAAAGGCATGCCAACCGATTTGCAGGTCATGCCCGTCTAGGTACAATAGTCTTTTATCTCTAAGCATTATCCATTCTTTAAGCCATGTTAGAATGGTTGCTTGGTGATATAACCTCCAGTCCGGCAGTCCAAATTCTCTACTGTCTTTTGCTTCTTGTAGCATTTTCACTTTGATTCTAGCTTTTTTTCCTTGCCAGATAAATTTCAATATTATTGTATTCAGTTCATCAAAAAAAGGCTTTTCCCAGCCTTACAGGGATTGTTTGAAATAAAAAGAGTATTTTTGGTAAGATATTCATTTTCACTGTTGCTATTGTCCCCAACATTGAAAGTTGGAAGTTTTTCCACTTTTCGAAATCCAATTTTATTTGTTTTAGCAGTCTTACATAGTTATCTTCTTTTACTGTTATACATCTTGCTGTTAGATAAATTCCCAAGTACTTGACTTTTTTAATTATTTGAAGATTTGTTTTTTTTTTGTTAGTTGATTTTTTTGTTTTTCTGTTAAATTCTTTGTTAGCACTTTGGTCTTTTCTCTGTTTATTATCAACTCTGCTACTTCTCCAAATTTTTCTATTTTCTCCAGAGGTTTAGTGCTTGTTAGATCCTTTTTGTTTGTTTTTTATTTGGAAACAATCGGGTTTTTAATTTAAACTTTTTCAAAGTATGGTGGGAATGGACATTAATGACATCTAGTGGCAAAACTGAGAACTACATGCAGTTTGCTCTGATTGGAATAAAACTTGGCTGTATGCCCAGACATTGCTTATATTTTAAACATCTTGGTGTCCTTGGAATCTGAAGTCCTGAATATTGTGGCTGGGAAAGAAAGACTCTTTTTGGATTGCCCTGTCCTACAGGATGGATTACAATTATAAATAAAAATTGTGTTTGAAGTCATCGGACTTCCCTGGATTACAAATACAGCTTGACCTGGAAACTTTACAAGCTGTTTTGAAAGAGTGAATAACAAGAAACTCCTCCGAACAGAATACTTTGGATTACAAATTTTGGTATATTTTTTTTCTCTTTTTTCTTTTTTTCTCTTTTTTTTCTTTTTGCCCTTCTGCTCTTTTTTACTACTTACTATTTTTATTGTTTACCTCTCCTATTTGTTAGGAGCTTATTGGATTATAAATTTTGACTTACTTGGTGGATTAAATCCTAGTCATAATAAAAACTAAGATAACGAGAAAGAGCTCAATATCCGGTGATTTCATCGTTTTCTGACTGTAATATCAAATTAGCTTGCCACTGCGGCCTTTTTTACTTGCCTGTCTAGCTTTTAATTCCTGAAATCAAATGGTACATATAACTGTTTTTTTTCTGACTGCATCTACATTTTCTTATACTGACAAAGAGATTATTGTTACTTCAAAATTTATAACTTCCTTGGAAAACAATGTCTTGCACGTATGGAAATATACAGCATTTACTGTGTGAATATAGCAATGGCTTTTTAACATTTTATTTTCCTTACTGAAATTGTTTGCAGTTTCAAGGGGCCTAAACCATAAAAGAAACAAAAAGTTATATGAATATAATTATCCACAGATACCTACTAGTTTCTGTCTGGAAATCCCGAAAGCCATCAAATATTGAACGAGCTGGTCTGCGTCTTTTTGGTGCTTAATAGGAATAGAATTTAATAAAGATTAATAATAAAATCAACCACATTGTGGATTTGTGGTACATATCTATAGTGAAGGATGTATACAAATTCCAGGACAGCAATAATGCATCACACTAATTAGTTTCATACATGAATTCATTAGTTCTTATGTTTCTAGTGCCTGTATATCTATCTTGATGTATATTTGAACATAAAATATTTACAGCAGTTTATGTACACAAAATAAATTAAATTTGCTCTCCCCAGATTTAAAATCAGAAAGGCTGGAGCAGCCATCAGCATAATACCATACAATACCCATCAGCATAATACAATACAATGGTGAGCCATTTATTTGTGGGCAATCAGGAGTTAGCAATGAACAGGAAGGTAGCCAAGTTTCTTTATAATATCAACTAATCAGACTGGTGAAAACAATGGGTTAATGAAGAGCCTAAAGTGAATCTTTACACTTGTTTAATATTTGTTTAATGTGGTTCAAAATGAGAAAGTGCAAAAGGTGTATTCTAGCACAAAAAACCAAAAACTTCACTTATGGAATAACCTAGGGCAGTGATGGCGAACCTTTTAGAGACCGAGTGCCCAAACTGCAACCCAAAACCCATTTATTTATCGCCGGGTGCCAGGAAGGCATGGGCCACTGGGTGGGCGTGGCTGTGGTGGTCATGGCAGATTGGGTGGGTGTGGCCAAGGGGGGCGTGATCACCTTGATGTTGCTCATGGGGAGGGACGCCTATGGGGGCCGGGCAGGGTTGGGGGAGATCCAGGGGGTCTCTGGCAGGTGGGACAGTGGGCAGGAGGCTCGTCCTGCGGGGTGAGGTGAGGCAGGGCGGGGGTGCCATTGTCACAGGGCAAGGCGAGGCAGGGGCCAGGGCGGCAGCTGCCTGACACCATTGGCCCCTGCACACAGAGGCCAGCGAGCGCATGGGTGCTGGGATGCATCTGGCCACGTGGGACCTCGGCGAGTTAGCGGGTGGCTGGTTGAAGAGGGATGGTTGCCATCTCCGGGGCATGGCGTGCGTGCCCACAGAGAGGGCTCTGAGTGCTGCCTCTGGCACGCATGCCATAGGTTCACCACCACTGACCTAGGGCAGTAACTGATTAGAAAAGGGTAGTACGAAGGAAATATCTAAATAGTAGCTACTATAAAAATGGAAACCTCTGGAATAATAAGGAAGAAAATAATCAATTAATATACTACTGCTTTTACAGAAATCCATAGTGAGACCACATCACACTTCACAGACAAAAGTGGATATAAAACAGACATTTTGGCCAATCAGCAAGATAAAAGAACTGTATTCTTAACTAGTCTCTTACAGACTAGTTTTTGCAGTCATTTTTTAGATTCAAGTCTGATGGATAAACAATATGTGTAGCAATATGATTCCCATCATTCTCACCAGTATTAATGTAAGTTGCAGAAAGGCAACTTGTGAAGATGATTAGAATAGATAGGTACAGTGCATTCAGAAAGTATTCAGTCCCCCTTGGGATAGGCACAGTATATGGAGTATACAGTATTCAACAGTATGAAGAAACAAGTCATAATAGAGAATGATACATTTAGATGCTGATGGCCTGATGTTTGAATAGAAGATTTGGTTAGCTGGAGTTGGCTTCTGAATTTAGCCAAAAGAATGCCTGAAGCCGATTCTACATTGGAGCTGCTGCACTAAGCTGTATGTTCAGTGTTTTGTCATTCCCATAACCATTTGACAGATCTTCTAGATTTGAAGCAACATGATGCATGGATGACTGCATCCAAAAGTTAAGTCTGTCCTGCACAGTGAAGCACTACGCATTTTGTTGTGAAATTACTGTTCCTAGAGAAAATAAAGGATGTGGCTATGCTTGGAATTTCAAAATCATCCCCAGGATAGAATAGCAGCCACAATAATGTTCTTATAGCTTATAAACTATGACTGGGGAGCCAGAGGTGGAAATTCTGACAATTCTTCAACTTTGGGGGTCCAGAAGATAAAATATGGACTGCTGTATGGCTGCACATGGATTGTGACAAAGTAAGAACATTATGCCATATCAAGAATTCCAGAACTGGAGGAGGCTAGAGAGGCTTTATAAAAGGCCTTGGGTTCACTGCTGACCAGCCTGGAGTATTATGGGGCCTGGTAATGGAGAGGCTGTTACAAGAGTCATCACTGTGCCAACTAAAACACCTATGGAGAGAGCTATGGATTCTGAAGAAAGCTATCTATAGCTGGGAGACAAGATTGGCAGTAGAAAGGCTCCTAGCTGTTATGCAAGAACAGGTCTAGGACAGCTCTGCTGCTGTGAGATGTGCTCATTGTGGGAAGCCCTATAGGCTGGAATCAATGTTGGAAAGATGAGAGGTAGTTTTAACTGGGGACTGAAGAAAGATTGCTTGCAATAGCAACACTATACTGCTGGCCTGTGGGCTTCGTTAGTATGTTGGTTGTTGCAGATGTTACTGAAAGTTAATTATTAGACACTGGGTGACTTTATTTGTAGCTCAACTGTAATGGCTTCAAAAATGGGGAAATCAGTTGGGCTGTTATAGGACATAGGAAGTTATCATTAGCAATCATATCTTCTGATAGAGTAACTGCGAATCCAGGCACCATGGAGACTGTACATTGGCAAAATCCCTATTTGGTCTCTATGGCCAACTAACAAACAGGCATGAGGCTCATCATGTGGCAAGTAAGTGACTGCATGAAGATTCTGTTATGGCCTAATTGTTTGCTACAAAAGACAGGGTCCTAAAACAAATAAACAAAACCTGTATATGTAGTTAACCGAGGTGATGATGGAGGAAATATGTATAAGTGACAACCAATGGTGAGCATGAGTGAATGAGGCATAATGTATTTGTGATACTTTTGAAAAAGAAGAATGTATAATCATTCTATCCAACTTGCTATTATCATGCACTCCTGAAAAGAATAACCCAAAGATATGTAGCTCTTTCGTACTCACTCTGATGGAAACATGCTAGCACAGAAAAAACTTTTTATCCCCATGTTTTCTCTACTAACAGAGTACAGCATATGTCATAGATTATACATATCAGGAAATACATGTTTAAAACAGATACAATTATAAAATCCATTCTATTATGACATGCTTTTTTGTGCCTGACTGCATGAACGTATAACCTACAGCTTTGTCGGGTCATAATCTCCCCTTATGAATTGAATCCTGTAGCACGATCAGAAATAATTTTTAAAAATAAGTCCAAGACTCACTTATGATAATAAACATGAAGACTCCCAAGTTTTCCAGGCTGAGTTACCATATTTTGAGGACGTATACATTATCATTTACAAATCCAGAGAAAAATCTACTGTACATAACTAAACAGAAATATATCTCTTCTTAAACAGAATGTTATTCGGAATTACTACTGTAGTGATATTAACACTCCTCTACTTCAGTTTCTTATTTACAAAATAAAAGTAGTAACAGTAATGAACTAATAAAAAAAGTCAAACTATTTTAGTAAGTATTAAGGAAAGTTGCCTGTTATGCATATTTTTCAGTACTATAAGATCTCATCATCTCCATTGTAAGGACAATGAAGAATTTTTGTTCATTCTTTGAAGAGCAAACAGAAACTTACCACCAAATAAGGGTTCGGGTTCTACCAGAATTTCTTGCTTTTGAGGAATAGGTGCCCTCACTTCATCTCTACAAAGACAAAAAGCAAATAATAGCTTGAAAATGTCAGTATTACTTGGGCAAGAGGAAAATCTGTTCTTCATACCTACATTGAAACTATGCATTGGTGTTCAAACTATTACGAGGAACAAAAAAAAATATGCATGGAAATTGCCCTTGTGATTACACAAAAGGAAAAAGTGCTCAAATGTCTGGACCTAGTCTTTACCATTTTATGTCAGGAACAAATCAAAATTCCTGACACGTTTGCACACTTTCATTTTAATAAATCTGAAAAACCCCTAAGGAAGAATCAACCTTTCCTATAAGACTCTGTAAAACTGAAGCTTTAGCACTTTCCCAAAAACTTTCTCAAGAGAGGGAAACACTGGAGTTCAGCCAGTAACTCTTATCACAGGCATGTCAAACGCGCGACGTCAGGTGATGTCGCACGACATATCGCGACTTTTACCCCATTGCCGGCAATGCGGTGGGCGCAGTTTCGTTGTGACGCATCCGGCCCGTGGCCCGGCAGTTTGACATGCCTGCTCTATCATATGACTGGATTAAGAAATGGTCATTTTAGAAGGGGACATAATGCTGCTTCCTTCAAGGCATCACTCCTGTCTGCAGTAAAGTATCAACTACCTCAGATTCATGCACACATATCCCACCCAGTCACATAAATCAGTCAGGTGGAGAATGGCAGAATTTATGCTAGAGTTTTATTTTCTTCCTTAGTTTTGGGAAATTCAAAAGAATCCAGATAAATTAGAAAGGTGTTGCCTGGATCATTATGCTAGAATAATTATATTGTTCTCTGTTAATTTTGATAATTGGTAGTAATAATACAAGTCTCACAAAGGAGCTGTGCTTTAAATGTTTTGATGATTAAATAGATACCCAGAGCAACAATAGAAGCATCTGCATAAGAAAAACTAAGAACTTAAAAGCAAAAATATCTGAAATATACGTACAAATTTCAACGATAATTTAATTATCCTCTTTACAACACTACGTACTCTGTATGTGGTCGCAGGTTTGATACACTTGCAGAACTAGTGCTGGGTTCTTCAACAATGCCTCCACCATCAAGGAACATAGTGACAGCCATTTCCAGATTATTGTTGCATGCTTCAAGCATATGTTTGCCTGCACTTTCACTGGCACCTATGACACAATGAAAACCAAATTAAGTTTCAACAAAAGCTTTAAAAGAGAAAAATGTATTAATTCAATAAAGTAAATATACTGTATTTTTATACAATAGACTATTTTTTTATATTTTAAAAAAATCAACACAATCCAGTCCTGTAAATACTTTATTATGTTTTGTTGTCTTTGTATCAATCATGATTCCTAATGATTTATAGAGAGGTCCTACAATTTTCTTGGCAATAATACTGAGGTGGTTTGTCTATCTTTTTCTGGGAAGTTTTTCAACTAGGGCTGAGACAGTGACTCACCTAAGATGTCTTATTAGTTTCTGTGTCTGAGGCCACTCTAGAACATGGGCCTTCTCAATCATATTATCTTTCCTTTTCTGCATGACGAGGTGTCTGTGTGTGTATAGATTTTACCAATAATATAAACCATTTCAATATAATTTCCTTTGTCAGATTCTAGTATATTCTGTTACTATCTCCTCTCACACATCCTTTGTTAATTACAGACAACTCAATGGAGTATTCCTATGAAATTTAATGCAAGGAGAACAATCTAATCCTGGAAGCAATTCCGCACTCCCAACATGACTGCAGGAGTAGTTACAGACCTTTTACTGAAATCTGTAGACCCATGGAGGACTATGAAGTGTATGCATGTGTCATATTATTTGAACTCTGAAGCAACCAGAAACACACAAGAAGTTTGAGTAGTTTCCATCTGCTTCAAAGTTTGACAGCTTTGAAGCACCATGCCATATTCTTAAAGAATGGAAAAAAGAGGACTCAGTATAATTAAGCACAGTAATAACTATAGACAATAGTTTGGGGGGGAAATGTATTAAAACAGTTAAAACTACCAAAAAGAAGGCTAAACTATATGGTAGTCTTCAGCTGGTGAACTACACCTCTCATAATCACTTGCCATGAACCATGCTGACTTTACTGATGGGAACTGTAGTCTAAAACATCGGGAAAACTTCATGTTGTTCTTCCAGACAGTCAGTAACATGATATGGACAAACATTCGGCTTTCTTTCTTTCTCAATAAAATATCAACAGAACAATTAGAAATTATTGGAAGAGAAGATTCTGTACAAGTAGTCCTTGACTTACAATAGTTCATTTAGTGACCATTCAAAGTTACAACGGCACTGAAATGAGGCAAACTCACTTAAACGTCTCACTTAACAACAGAAACTTGGGCTCAATTGTGGTCATGTCGAGGACTACCTATATATACTGTAGTTCTAAATCGTCAAATAGTAGCCTGAACAAATTGGTATCCACAATAAAAATTTATTTATATTTCTAGAAGAGAAGGACCTCTACATCTATATTAAATTATATCTGAGATATTAAGTATTTAACTTAATATTTCCTTTTCCACAAACTACTGCAGTTAAACTTTTCAGAAATAACAGGATAATAGTGATACATAGAAACAGACTACCTCAAACTTAACTATAATCCTTGGGATTACAGACACCACCTGAAATAGATGTAACAGAGTCTTTCGTGTTGATTTTGAAAATTCATGCATGATAAACGTCTATTACATTTAACTACATTAATCTAAGATTAGACTGCATAATGAAGTGTTGAACTCTTCTTTCCCAGAGGGCTTCAAACAGGGGCGACAGGTAAACAGTAATTAACCAGATAATTGAATTGAATTTCTGGATTGAGTACATACTACAAAACATACTATTCCTTTATTTTTAGCAAATGAGAACTACCCAATCACTTGCTACTTCTAATTGAATCTGGCTTTTCCCACTTGTTGGAAGCCAGATGGGAAGTTTACAAATTGTGATCACATGACCCCTGGACAATGCAACTGTCATAAATACATGCCAGTTGCCAAGGGCTCAAATTTTGATCACATGACCATGAAGCTACTGCAACAGTCTTAAGTTTGAAAACTGGTCATAAATCACTTTTTTCAGTGCCCTGAACTTCAAATGGTCTCTAAACGAATGGTTGTAAGTCAAGGTCTACCTATAGTGTATTGAAGAAATATGCATTTACAAGATATTTGAAATGATTTGGCAGAATACACTATGAACTTTTTAAAAATCTTGGTAATAATGAAATCCATAGGAGTTGAAGTTCAAATTGTTATATCAAAAACTCTCAAAAAGATAAATTCAGCCAGTGAAAGAAGCTAAGATAATACATTTTGAATGGACTGTTCAATATTATCATGGCTGTCTAAAAAGTTTCATATCCCTTTTTTCAAGGGAATATCAGTTCTCTGAGGTATAGCTGCTTCATTTTAAGGATTCAAGAGCACAGTCCAATTAAAAAGATTTGTATGTTTGATTTAATATTGTGCAATAGACTGTAAAACAAAACAATGCCATCTCTCATTTAGTTGCTCTACATTTAGCTTCTGCCTCTTATATGAGGGGAAATAAGATCTGAGAAAGAACTGAGTTGAATGCAACAGAAGTAAAATAAATAAAAGCTTCGAAAACAAAACATTTTTTCTGGGAATATATTTTACAGTACCAATAAAACTGTCCATATACAGGTAGTCGACTTACAACAGTTCATTTAGTGACTGTTCAAAGTTACACAGCACTGAAAAAAGTGAGTTATGACAGTTTTTCACACTTACAACAGTTGCATGTCATGTGATCAAAAGTCAGAGGCTTGGCAGCTGACTAATATTTATGACGGTTGCAGTGTCCTGAGGTCATGTGATCAACTTTTACAACCTTCTGATAAACAAACTTCATGGAGAATCCAGATTCACTTAACTGTGTTACTAACTTAACTGCAGTCACTCACTTACCAATTGTGGCAAGATAGGTTGTAAAATGGGGCAAAATTCATTTTATAAATAACTCAAGGCAGCAGACACACACAATACTCTTTCTTCCTCCTATTTTCCCCAGGTCAACACCGACTACTAGTTCACCAGCATTTCACCAAATAATATTTTCTATTATGGGACTGTATCTAGAAATTCTGAATGCTCTCCAATCCTAAACCAAGCTCCTTTCTGAAATCTCCTGACTGAAGCATTTCAACATCACTTACAATCAAGAATTCAATCAAGAAAATATGTTTCTGGCAAGCATCATGCTGCATTTTTAATAAACCGAATAGGCTTTAAAAATATTAGGTATCTTAGGCATTTTGCCCATGAAGGGCTTGTAATCCTTACTGGATGAAGCCTCTTTTTTCAGAGGCACCACCTTTGGATTAAAAAGCAAAGAAGAAAGGATAATCAGTCATATTCTGCTTTTAATTCTAGAATAGATTAGACATTTGGCATGGATTGGTTACTGTTCCAAACAGAATACTAGATATTATGGATCTTCCTTCATCCCAGCTGTTTCTCCCCACTCCAACCGCTGTCTTCTAAGCATACTCATGCTTTGGGACCTTCATATATAAAAACGCAAAAATACCTCGGGAATATTTTACTTTTACAATACTAACGCCCATGGTTAGAGCGTTCACACCAACCAGCCCTTTAAAAGGGAATTTGGCTCGACTTATTACCTCTGCTGATAACTATTTTTCCCGACTTCAAATTTATATTATACAGACAAGGTAAGTCGGATGACGATCCTTTTTCGTCTCACGCAGTTTGGGACCGAAATAGGTTGGTATTTCGAGGGACGGAACTACAAGCTTATTTACTCGTCTCTCGTAAACACAGTAACCAAACCACAAATCTAGTTCTTCCTGGAAAATGTCCCACTGCGGTCCCTGAAACGAAGGAGAGCACATCTTATTTCTCTTCTCACCTCCACAAAAGAATTTCCCTATAATTCCGTCTAAGCATTACCTCCGCGAACTTCTTTTTCGGTTCGCTCCGTCATTATTTCTTTTTCGGGGCCACCTTAGCTTCTTCTCCCCCATCCCTGCGTCGGCCTACCGGGGCCCCTTTCCCCTTTATCTCCCGCAAAACTCCCTTGAAGAGACTGTTTCCGAGCCCGCGCCACCTGCCCCTTCCCCCATTTAGCTGCACCGGACTGAAGCCGCTGAAATCTATTCCATGTTTTCGCACGCCTCACCCGTGATGGCGGTAAATTGCTGAATTAACCCTTTCAACACTGAGGCGGCAGCAGAGCCCCCGGGCGCCGCCATCTTGCCGCCTCGATCGCCGAACAACACTCGCCACCTGCTCGTCCTACTGCGCAGGCGCGGCTTTACCGCGCCCCAATTCTCTTGCGCGCTTTCAATTTTAATATCTAGCGTAAGGAAGAGCGTGACGTGAAGAAGGAAAAGCCCTTCTCGAAATGGTGTCGGAGACCTCAACTGCTGTCCTCTAGTGGTCGGAGGATTTCTTTTTCTAGCGCTTGACTTCTCTCAAGCCAGCTCTCAAAAATTTTGCGAAGTTCTTCCCTTTATCCCAAAGGGAATTCTGCCTTATATTATGGGGCAGTCGCTACAAATGTAATAACCCTAAACCTAAGTTGGCGTCTGGGTCCTTCCAACTGCGTCATTCGGTTTGATAGCGAGACGTGAAGAACTCTTGAGCGCAAATACGAGAACTTACTCAAGCGAAGCTACATGGAATTCTACTAATGTGGAAAACAGAACTTTAAAAAGGGAGAATATTATCAGGGCCGCCTATCCTGAGCAACACAGGAAAACCATAACTGTATTTGAAACAAACGGACCAAGAACTGCTACAAAAGCAGGAGGAAATAAGAACTACTATTAAGTGTAAAAGTTTCTGGCCAATGAATGAGCTGCCTGAGAGCATTTAACTCCTCCAATCTATGGGAGAGAACCAAAGCACTTAACCACTTCAGATTAAATACTTGATATAGACTCCATCGATTACATCTTCTAGACCAGGGGTAGGCAACCTTGGCTCTTTTATGACTCGTGGACTTCAACTCCCAGAATTCCTGAGCCAGCTAAGCTGGCTCAGGAATTCTGGGAGTTGAAGTCCATGAGTCATAAAAGAGCCAAGGTTGACTACCCCTGGTCTAGACTGTTTTAAGATTCATGTATTTTGACTTATGAATTTCCATACTGTAAGAATCTCTGGAAGCTCCTTTTGCCTTGTAAAATGATCGTCTCCACATCCTGAAATTATCATTGGCAGTACTTTTTGATTGGCAGTACTTTGTGACTTCAAGTTTTTCAAAAATGTCAGTTCCTTCTGAGTAAAAATGTGATTTCATGCTGAGAGCATTATAGATAAATTCAGACTCTGGCTTTTATCCATAACTACATTCATTCTAAGAATTAAAAGTGCACAGGCACAAGCCATGATGTATGCAAGTGTTTCAAATACAGTTTGTTTTAAAAAGATGATTCAGAAATTTCAGACAAATTGACCATGTGCTTGAAAATCAACCCAAGCACCTAATGACAATCCATTTTTTCTTCAGAATGCAATAATGGCAATAGAGAACAATTCAAAAAATGAAAACCCAAAAGGATAGATAAGAATACTAAATGTAATATTTGAAAAATAATTACTTTATTTATTTATTGTACTGTCACTTTCACGTAAATCCTTCAGATTATATATCATTTTC